TATTAGTGTAAAAGTGAACCTACAGTACTTTGAAAAAACTCATCGTGACACAGTAACTTTGAGTCACACTCCATATGTGAAAAAACTAAAATATATAATATTTTTTCACAATTTAAAGTTGACTTTGCTCTATGAAGGGAAAAACAAATTTATTTTCTTTTTCTTCATTAATTCGCTTTTACCGCCACGTGTTCGTCTTTAAGGTTTGCAGTTCATGGAACAGCAATGATCGGGCTTATATTTTTTTGAAAAGAAAAAAGAAATAAATCAAATCTTATATTTCATCTTTTCTAGTCCATGAGGTGAATTTTGGTACATTGTATTTTGAGGCATATTAAGAAGGACTAGGAATGTATGGAACACTTTTTAAAAGTTCATGTAACGTGAATGATATAAGAGTGAAAGGACGACACCAAGAGGGCAAATTAGATGCAAAACGCAATTGAATCATTCGTATCAGGTAGCGCCTGTGTTGCGATTCGTAGCACGCGCACGCACCGCTTTCGCTGCACCGTATCCTGATGCTCTAACATTCACACAAACAATAAAAACATTTCTGCCTAGAAGAACCAAAAAAACGATTACGGTATTCATAAAACTTCGAATTACCCATAGTCCGATTTATTCCACCACGAAAATTAATGGTGAAAGTAATGTATTTTTTGTAAAAAAAAAGTAACCGTTAATTACAAAGAGATTATTAAAATTACTTTTAAGATAAATTGTAAGAAACAAAGAATCGAATTAAGTTTCGTGGAAAGTCCTTCGCTCGTTAACACAGATTTTCAACCATTAAAATCTACACCTTGCCATAACGAGCAAAAAGGGTCATTGTATTTCGTATACGTAAATAAGGAGGATGGTTATAATATCAAATGAGCTCGTCTTTCATCCCGACACCGCCGCCAGGCCGTGTGGTATTTTAACGAGCGCCTTACTTGCCCAAAAAAAATGTGACATCTCACCACAATCGCTGCCCGGCCACGGACCGCACTAATTGCACAAAATCCACCGCTGCACCCAAAACTTTACCACAGAGTTGATAATTTATTATTAATGAGTTATAAGGAACTTAAATTTAGTATCGTCAATTATTTAAATAGCAGTTCTTTTAGCTACCAATATTACAAACAGTTACAAATATACATTACTTTCTTCATAAGGAGCAAAATTGATTGCTTTATTGCGCAGCGTATTAACTGACTGAAATTTTTTCACAGATACGCATCGGATTGTTTTTCGTAGCGTCGTTATATCCAGCCCAGGCAGACCCTGGTCCCGTTGCCGGCTTGCAACATGTTGCCAACCTATCGCGTATGTAATTTGTGTACTTTTATATTAAAATGTCCTTAAAAATACATACGTTTATATTTATCTTACAACACTTTCGTGCGTTTATTCTTTTCAGATATAACAGGAAGTTCCAATCCTAGTGGGTTTAGTACAAATTTTTCTCCCCGAATGGACTTTGCTCAATGGAAACCTCTAACTGGGCGCGGCGATCCACTTCGAAATGACCCAACATACGACTACGAACCTCCTGTTCTAGAGCGAGTTCATTACTGGGCTGATGAGCCTCGCGTGGAGCGTGAACGGATTCCTGAAAGGAAATCTGAAGTTTTGGTGCTGGGTGTTTCTTCACGTAAACCGAGTGTAGCCCCCCACCAGCCCCCACCGCTGAAGAGGACACATCGACCCCCTCCACCTCCACCACCTCCCAAATTCGAGGACTACACGTACAAGTATAGTGAATATTATCCTATGACAATACTTGTGCCTCCGCCACCACCTCCACCGGGGCACCAGCCTTCAGTCTACATAATTCCCGAGGAAAATTTGTCAGGTCTTGTTTCGTCGCTTAAGCAACCGGATAGACCGATGATAATTAAAAGACCTTCCACGGTAACACCAGACCATTTGTCATCTTTCGCCGTGCAAGAAGCTAATTTAATATATCAATCTTCAACTACGAGTCAGAATTGGTTTGTGGACTTAAATCAAACAAAAGTTCTACCGAATACTCCTGTGACTAGCGACTACGCTGGCTGGGGCCCGACCACACCATTCGACGATAACGATATTATTAACGACACACACAACTTTATTTCAAATGATCAGAGCATAGAGGTATCGAAACCATATTTGTTTTACAAACCATCATTACCGGTGTCGCAAAAACCTCAATCGGGACCTATTCAAAATCTTATAACAACATTTGTGCCTACTGCTCTACCGCCCATAGAGTCCACACCTAGTAGTACACAAGAGGCATGGGCGCCCACTGATACTACATATGAAGTTAGTACAGAAAGTCCAAATATATATGATGAAACTGCTACGGTATACAAAACTACAAACGAATTACCCACTACAGTAACTATGCCACCAAAACCACATCCAACACTTTTTGATATGTTATCCCCAATGATGTCAATGCCACTAGCCACAGATCCAGATAGACCAGAAGACAATTTATATGCTCATGCTTCAGAAAATATACATGTTTTTAAAGAACATACAACAGAAGATAGCGCTAAATTAGATTTGATGCAGAGTATGCAACCACCTGCACCGGTTAAACATTCAGACGGTTCTACAGGTTCAGAAAGGCATCCTTATCATGTTAATCCGCACGTCCTGAACAATTTGCTACATGCAAAACCGTCTCATGCACAAAAAATCCATACACATGATCCTTATTTACATATGCGTTTCACTACACCCATGACTACATCTACAACGCAAGCGACCGTCTCGCAAGAAACTAAGTATTCTACGGAAGCCCCAACAGTACCCATGTATTTAATTATACAAGGACATTCGAAAGTTAAAACATACAGTTCCAAGGCAAAATATAACTTGCAAGATACATCACAAAACGATATTACTAAGCACAGAGAAACAAATGAAGTTAAACACTTACATCCGATAAAAGAAAAACATTCTAAAAAATTAGATAAAAACAACGTGACCCGTACCGGTAAAGCTCAGGATTTAAAATCTTTAATTGATAACGGTTTGGGACCTATAGAAATACAAGAGACCGATGTCGGTATAAAATATGATGTAAGTGACGGCAGCAAAGTACCTGTTGAATTATATAAAAAAGGAATCGTAGACACCGATGAAAATGACTATAGCTCCAAAAATACAACTAAGAGAGAGAAGCGTCAAATACAATTTCAAGATTTATTAAATTTTACTAACGATTCAATTGAGGAGTACTTTGAAGATTTTTTAAATAAACAAAAAAATGAGAATTTAAGTGGACAAGTTGCGAATGGAGAAGCCACGGGATATAATGACCTGGAAGAAGATGACGAGGATTCAGACGAAGAAGACGGCGAAGATGGGTGAATGAAGACATTCACAAAATGGATAACTAATCATAGCATAAAACCAAAAGACCGATATCTTTACAAAAAATTTAGTTACCCCGTTTGCATTTCTTTTACATAACAACTCCACTTTGGAGCTGACTGTATTTCTTTTAAAATGAAAAGTACCGTTAACCGGCGCTTTATATTCAGATAAATAATGTCTAAATTTAGTCTTATTATAGTACAAATAAAATTCGATAGCATAAATAAATTTAAAAAAAAATGCGGTAATTGATCGTTCACAGTGAAGGCACATGAATGAAAAATTCTGATGAAGAATTTAGAAATTAATAAGTGCTTTCTCTACAAAGAATTTTGTTTCAATTTTGTTTGACTAGATTTTATATTTATTTAAAGTTTGAAATGTTTTGTAAAAAATAATGAATTATTCCATTTTATTACTTTTATTTGTATTAGCGATATGTCAGTTTATTTTTTATAGCTTTTATTTGTGAAAATAAAAATGCTAACTGGTTAATTTAGTGGATTTTGAAAAGACTGATAAAATGATTACAATTGTGTGTACAAAATCGTAGGTGCTTTTACATCGAGTGTTAAGATATTTATTTTCTATCGACATTTAAAAAGTACGACCTACATATATCTTAAAGAGAGAGAGAGAATCTTTGTATACATTGGATTCTATGCAAAATTAAGGCAACGTTTCATAAGACGCTAATCTAATATTATTATATTTATAGGGCGTGGTATATACATGTTGAAATAAAATTATAATTCATAAGTTGTATATTAATATCCGAGAACATACAATAAAGGATAAAAAAAATTAAGCCAGACATTTTTTAACTATTTCAACGAAATTAAACTAACGTGTGTTTTTTTTAATTAAAATTAAATTTGTGAAATAAAACAAGACAGAAATTATTTCGTAACATTTGCAAATAATGCGCATATATATATAATACAATAAGGAATTACTCAGCTCTTTGTTGGGCGAAGTTTTTACATGAGTAATTTTTTGTAATGTTTTCAATGTGTACTAAAACGTAAACAAAATCTAAATGTTTATCACTCTTCTTGTCAAGTTCTTGATCACACGTTTCACAAGCAATCCATCCATCTCTTCTATGTTTTTTCTTTAACTGTCTAGAATTTTGACTATGATAATTTATTCGACCATGTGAATTACTCGGAAGAAAATTTTAACTTGGGTTTTAGATACTGACAATAATTATTACTTGTGATAGAAATGTTTTTCTAGGAATAAATCAAGTGCCTTAGAAACGCCTTTTGTATTTAATATAGTGTAGTAGCTGAAAAGTGACTTTTTTAATTTTGTATGTAATGTTTGTAGTTAATCAAATATTCTTAAAAGTATTTTATCAAATTATTTTGTATAAATATGATGTAATGTTGTAATAAAATAATTTATTTACAATTCATATTTTTTGACATTTTTATTTGCATATACTACCAATGTAATTGAATTATAAAAAAGAAAATTGTGTATTTTTCTAATTATGTAGGTTTAGTTACATTGATGCGTGTCTACAAAAAGTATGTGTGCGAGTCAACGGACGCGGCCCACTAACACACACTTTTCTTACCGTCCTTTTCGAAGAAATAGACAGGCAGCTCGGATAAAGTGAAAGCTGCTTATAAGCCGATAAAGTCAATGTTTATTGCTAAACACACCGTCCAAACGAATCGAACAATTGACGCCACAAGAACAAATACAACCTTTGTCCATTTTAATTACAGTTTACACATCAAAGTTTAAAAATAAATAAAGCAATAACAGCACAAAAAGCTGTACTCGTTCATAACGAAGTTCATAACTCCGATTACATTGATCTCCTTGGCAGAAACATAATTTGTACTCCGCGTCAGGTAGTCTGTAAATTAAAAATATATCTAATAACACTAAGCATTATGGTTTTTTTTGCATTTCAATTGATTATAAAAAGAAGATCTCCTTCCTATATATAAATTAAGTTTTCAATCATCAAAAATAATTTTACCTTTGCCGTTTGCACGACATTGTTCTTGCTTCAGATAGACTTACGGGCGGCGTATCTTGTGCAGTAAGCTCGTAGCAGCCTCTTTGTACGATCCATGCATGTTTCGCTCTTGCTCTCCACGAACGTATGAAACACAATGCATTCTCTGAAATATAAGCATTGTTTAAAGTTTTTGACTTGAATTGTAAACTCAAACTACATTTCAAGCTAATAGCTATTCGCATCTTTACAAAAAAGATTGTAAACCTTCAGTACAATTCACTACATCTTTATAGATCGTCTTAGTAGAGTCGAGGGCGTTGTCTATAGTGACCCCGCAGCGCGTCCAACTGCGGTGGGTAGATGAACAATTCAAGCACATCACACCGTTAATAATAGTTACATTAACATTAATCAATAAGCTAATTAATATAAATTTGTCAACGGATATAAACATTTATAAATACACATTTACTTCAAAAATATTCGCGGTGACAAAAACATTGTCAGTCATGCAAATTGTTTACTCTGTGATTATGTCTTATTTTATCTAATATCTTTCATAGAGTTATATATTACTTATATGCCTCTCTGAACCGATGTGAAATTTTAAAGATAGGAGATGAATGAGAACCTTGGAGAATCTAGGGGAATCTAGATCAATCTAGGCATATTTTCGAGTGTGTCATGCTGGACATAGGCCTTCCCCAATGCCTATTATAGAGAGTATGCGAAACAACCACTTCCTACCGCACATAAGTGGATCATTCACAACTTCATATTACCTTCATTTCCTTCGCTCCTAAAATAATTCCTTAAAGAATATGGCCTAAAGTTTATTTAAGTTATTAGACGTAAAAGCTACGATCTTCTATGCGGATTAAAATGAGATAGGCTTAATTTAACTGTGAACAAATTTAAGCAACCTTGCAGTTTGTACTTCATGATCATGGGTATTATTGAATGTGGCCATATTATATGTCAATCGCATGTATTTCGACATTGTCTCCAACATTAGGGAGATATAAGATAAATCTAGAATCTACTTATCCACCGTTATACGAATATAGCTACAGATACAACATTCGTTTTACTGCGACAATTTTTATTATGTAAAATAGGACACATTATCACGTAAAACTTGTGCGAAGTTAAATTTACCTGGACATCGGACGGTCAAAGCGCAGCGAATTCTTGCTTCAAATATTCGATCTCGTATAAAATTATCACGCGATAAAGGGTCTTCACCAAATTGTGTGTTAGACAAGGTACCATTGTAACATAACAAACCGAAGGACAAAGAAAATGATTCATAAAATACGAACAAGCAAATCACGTTAATAAAATTTATATTTCTGACGGCCATAACCGCCCAGATTGTGGTATAAGTTAACGTTCTTTTAGGAGAAGGCGATAATAACAATTTGCCTTTGATTAGATGTATAAAGATACCCCAATAGCCTAATGGTACGATCGTAAAGTCGTGAGATCGAACCCGCCATTTGACTCTCGTCATAATTCAAACAAGTTTAAATCTTAATTAAATTCTTTGATGTTGGGGTTTGGTGTTGCGCTTTATGTAAGAAAAAACAAAGAAATGATCGCGTCAGGATTGCAAGTTGTTACGTTTAAAATTTTTCTTTATAGCTTAATATAACTAACTAGGGTGACGCAGCGACCTGAAGCGGGCCTTGGCTTTCCACAACAAGTCTCCAATATTTACTCCGATCTCGCGCGCAGACCTGGAACTCATGAAGATCTTTATCCATTTCAATAAATACACACGAAATCTGTGTTAAAATCAGTATCATATCATAAAGTATTTAGTTTACAGGATACGCATAATTATGGCACAAAGTTTTAATGTTAGAAGGTGACAACCGAGTATGCGGATTGCCTAATGTCATGCGACAATAATTACTTAAAAATATAGTGTCAAAATTAACACTAGTGGTGACACCATCAGAAAGCATGTTACAATTTCAATTTGGGTTCCCCCACATACTTTCAATTACTAATCCAGGATCAGCCACTAATATTTGTAATTCTTCTTGTTATCTATGGCAAGCTGTATCACTAACCTACTATTATAAAAAGTAAATCAAAAGATGTAGGTTCAGAAGGTTCAATTTAAGAATATAAATGAGTAAAACTATTGATTAATTTTATTTTCAATATGTTTCATAAATACGTCTAACGGATCACTTGAATGATCCAGAGTCATTTTTCTACCATACTCTTCGACAAGTTTCATATGTTCCTCCAGATTATTTACATCATTTTGTTCTGAATCAAAATATTGATCTTCGGCATCCTGAGAAATTTGCTCCAAATCATCATACTGTTCATTGTTATCTATTGAATTGTAATCAATATCTTCATCTCTGCCTTCAAGAAAACTGCTGTACATTTCTTGGTAAAATTCTTCTTTTAGCAATGCTCTCTCATTGCTAGTTATTGGGGCATCAGCTCTTGGAGCTTTGAATTTAGGGGTTGGTTGAGTATCAGGTTCATCAAAATCCCCCCACATCTTCTTTTTAGGTTTCTTATCTTTTTTAACTGCTTCTTTCTCATCTACTGATTCCTGATCTTCTTCCAACATTTGCCGATGTTTTGTCTCATTCATTTCATTCATTTCTACAGTACGTAGAATTATATTCAAAAATGTCAAATCCTTAGTGTCTCCAGAATCACGTTGTAGTACTTCTTCGTCATCTAAATACTGGCCAACAAGTTGTTCATATAAAAGTGGATTACGAAACATCATTTGTTTTTCACTAAAATAATCTGTTTCTTCTTGCATTTTTTGTAAGGCTCGGAATCGCCGGTTCTTTATTCTTTTATGTGTACTTCTCTCAGAATGATATATACGTAGATGTTTGATGCAATTATCAAAAGCAGTATCATTAAAACTTTTATCATTAAGCATGTTCTCAAAATATGGTAAATGGTTTGGTGATAAGTATTTGCCGAATTGAGTCAAAAATTCTGTGGGAGATTTAATAAATATATTGTAGGCTGTTTTAATCTTCTCTGATCTCTTGATGTCACTTCCATGTACATGTGAATTTTTAAATGATATATTTGCACACCTGACCAAGTAATCAATAATATCATGAATTGGGTCAATTAGATCTTCATCCTCTTCAACCAAAGAAATTGTATTTTGTATATCTTGATCCATTATCTTTTATTGTACACTATCTTGTTATTCAGTAGAAGATGATAAACAAGTTTACCGTAAGAAATAAAAAGAATATTCATTTGTAATTGAGTACCAGTAATTAAATCACAATTTCTTATTATTCTTAGTAAATAAAAACTTGAGCTTGTTGATAAGTGATAATCAGTTTGACTTTGACATTTATCATTTTAGTTTTTGGACATACACGAGATGCTCAAGACTATAAAAATCAGCGAAGAGAGTTAAGAATGATTGGGTTTTTATTGCAATTCAATTGATATTTTGAGCTAATTGCACTAAAAATAGTAAAGATTTTTTGACGAAAGACATTTTCTTTTTTTTTTAGGTTCTTAAGGAATTTTATAAAAGTTGTATACATCTATGCTTTGTTAAACCTTGTCAACTTGACATTTTATTTTTGACTTCTGAACTTCTGACATTCTGACATGTTTTGTGTTTTGACTCATTTGTCAAACATTGTGTGTATGTTTTAATAGTGATTTTAGTTTTTCACAATTTTAATGTCGTTAAAATTTAAATTGACTTATTTATATTATGTTATGTGCTATCTTTTTCCCGACTCGAGTGTAATTTTAGAAAACTATTGATATGTATTAAAAGTTACGTTGTAATGGAGCTCGTTACAAAATTACAATGGAACTGGAAAGATATGTGCGGACCGTTGGGATTTCAGCCTTGGATCGACGAAAGAAAAGATTTTGGGAAGTGCTTCCAGGAACTTTGTTTACAGATACCCATATTATTTGTCACAGCAATAATATCTGGATATTATGTTGGCTACAGAAGAGAGTGGGTTATACGTGAAAAAACACAAGAGCGTGCCATTGTCTTGCGCAGTTTTGCAGTTTTAGGTCTAACATTCATTCCAATTATAGAATTATACATTTTTATATCAAGCAATAAATTTAATCTGTTCCCAGTTGATTACTTTACTGCTGGTGCATCCTGTCTCTCATGGTTAGTGCACTTTGGATACATCCTGGCACTCAAACATAGACTAGGTCCGAGCAGTCGCGGGCCTTTGAGCCTAGTCCTTTTGTGGCTTATGACAGTGGTGTTCAATTTTATTTCCCTCCGCACAAGTATAATCACTGGATCCATTGTAGGATTCAATATTGCTACACTATGCTGCCATGTTGTGTATTTTATCACACTTCTACCATCAAGTGAGTCTAGACCAACATTTTATTCACCTCATCTTGTTGGATCCCAACATTCAAGTGTGAGTATAAATATTTTATTGAATAAATATATGAAGACATTTGAAAAATGCATCTAAAGGCATAGTACACATTTTTAGAGCGAGTACACACCTTTACTGCCACATATGGATGAGGGGATTTTGGGCACAGCAATGCAAGGCACAAGTTGGTTCTCTAAATTGACTTTTTTGTGGGTAAATCCACTTCTTGACAAAGGTAATGATTAAAAAACTGTTTTATGATAATAACATAATATGTATATGTATTGAATAGAATATACCAATTAATTTGATATTACTCATTCAAGGTTTGGAAAATAAATTAACTGATGCAGAAGAACTATATGATATACCCACAGAGTATAGATGTTCATATGTTGGTGCTAAAATGGACAAGGCATTGATTGGCAATGTAGACCAATTTCAGCAGTATGCTGAAATACCACATGAACCATTCATAGGCTCTGGTAAGAATCTTTCACATGTAAATATATTTTAAACACAATTCACAGTGTTTTAACAACAGATTTTTATTAATTTTTCCTAAAGTCTTTCAACATTAAATGTATGTAAAATTATTTATAACATTAGTGAGATTATTAAATTTAGGGGAAGCACCTACGTTACAACAGGGTATCCTGCTCGTACTTAAAATGTATAATCATGACTCAGTGTAGGGGAATCCTGAGTTGTAGTGTTCTAACTTGTATCATTTGTTTTGCTGCTTACTAGACATTCATATTTATCTACTTTTGACCTTGATTTGACCAAAGTACAGAAGCTCAATATTTTATTTAAAAGTGATCACAGTTTTAAACCACAGAATTAACTGCATATTCTAATTTTTTCATTATAAATTTAGGCTGCAGTGATAAATATTTTATGACAGACTGAAATATTTTCCAGGATATGGTTCATTAAGTGAAAGTCTACCTCAAGTGTCAACTCCAGTCACTCCCACTTCCAGGGTATTATTGAGGCCACAACGTCGTCAGAATGTGTCCTTACTTCGAGCTTTACACACATGCTATGCAATACAATTTTATAGCATAGGAATATTAAAGCTTATATCAGATATGGCTGGCTTTGCCGGGCCTTTATTATTAAATAAATTAGTTACATTTGTTGAAGATGAAAGTATTGATCAACATTTAGGGTATGTTAGCTATGCAGTAATATTTTTTAATTATTATTTTTAATATCTTATGAATAATAAAAAAAATCTTTGTTTTTAAGATATGCATATGCTGGTGGCCTTCTTGTTGCTACAGTAGTGAGTGCAGTTTTCAATGTCCATTTTAATTGGCTAATGTCATTAATAGGAATAAAAATGCGTGGTGCTATGGTTTCAATAATATTAAGAAAAACATTAAGTGTGACTTCAACAGAACTTACAAAGTCATTTTCTGTTGGAGAAATTACAAACTTCATGTCAACTGACACGGACAGAATTGTTAATTCATGTCCAAGCTTTCATGCACTCTGGAGCATACCTTTACAGGTTTGTGTTGCTATTTTCAAATGTTACTGTAGATAGTGATTTTGAATATGAAATATGTATTTATTAGTTAGAAAAAAAAGTTGTGTAAATTAATAGGCCTATAGTGCTTGGTAATTATGAGTTTTAATAATGATTAATCAGTGTAGGAGATATGAAAATTGGTCTTAGGCGTGAATTTCCAACAATGTATTTCTTATATGAATGAATGTAATTTTTTTATTTCAGTTGGTTATAACACTGTTTTTATTGTACCAACAAGTGGGGGTGTCATTTCTGGCCGGTGTTGCTTTTTCAGTTATTCTTATACCTATAAACAAATTCATTGCCAACAAAATAGGTCAACTGAGCACAGAGTTGATGAGGCATAAAGATTCTAGAGTTAGTTTAATCAGTGACATACTCAGAGGTATCAGGACAATAAAGATTCATGTTTGGGAGGATTATTTTATAAACAGAGTAGGAGGTGAGTTGTTATGTTATTTAAATTATCTGATGTCTGCATTGTATGATTGATGGAAAAGATAAATTAAAATGATAATAAATATTAACTGTGTTATCTTATAATACTAATTATCTTATAACTATTAGTTACCGCTAAAATACTTTGCTTCTTTATTAAAATTTATAAATTATTTTGAATTTGATTTGAGATTGTAATTAATATACATTTAAATAACTATGAAAAACATATGAAGGTTGATTAATTACAAAACTATTAAGTATAATAGTTCACAGTTAATGTTTCCACATACAAATATAATTGATAATCGTTGTTTAGAGGTGAGAGGCAAGGAGTTGTACTACCTGCGCGGGCGCAAGTACCTGGACGCGATCTGCGTGGTGTTGTGGGCGACCACGCCCGTGCTAGTGGCAGCACTTACGCTCGGCACGCACGCGCTGCGCTTGCAGCCGCTAGATGCCCCGACGGTATTCACTAATCTATTCAATAGAAAAATACGAGCTTTGTTTAAAATGTTAACCATTTCCCTTTGCAAATTATACCCATTATAGTATGTCTTACCCATAAGACAATGTGTATTGTCTTATGGGTAATTGCTACTTTTTTAATTCTTTTTAGGGTTCCGTATCTTATAGGAAAAAAACGGGACCCTTCTAGGATCACTTTGTTGTCCGTCCGTCTGTCTGTCAAGACCTTTTTTTAAAAGTCATGGTAACTTATTCAAGATGTGTTTCAGGTATTTACTACTGTGGCATTAATAAACATGCTTATAGCTCCATTGAACGCGTTCCCTTGGGTACTCAATGGACTAACTGAAGCATGGGTATCCATAAAAAGGATACAAAAATTTTTAGATGTAAGTAAATTTGAACACATATATTTTGTTATGGTAAAGTAATTTCTAAAAATTCCATATTATTAAAGCTTCCAGACATGGACTCGGATCGGTACTACGATCGTGTAAATACAAATCATGACGAAGATAAAATTCTGATATTTAAGAACGCTACGTTTACATGGGCCAAGCCCGCCACTCATCCGACACCACAGATAAAATCTAAAAAAAATAAAGGCAAATCAACTAAGAGGCTGTCGAAACGGAACATTCAACAAGATTCTACTTCGTCGTCTGACTCACAAGTGCAAGTTCCTTTCGTATTGAGAGATATATCATTGGAGATAGGTCGAGGTGAACTGGTGGGCATTGCTGGTAACGTCGGCAGCGGAAAGACATCACTCCTGCACGCCGTACTCGGGGAAATGATCAAAGTCAATGGAGACCTGCAGATACCTGAAAATTTAAATAGTAAGTTTGTACTTACAACTACACAGCATACTCAGATTCGTTATGTTTTCACTAAGGGCGGGCCTTACTGTATAAAGAATTGTTATATGATATTTTTTGTAGGTTTTGGATATGTATCTCAACAATCATGGCTGGTTCGCGGCACCATACGAGACAACATACTATTCGGGAAACCATACGACGAGACTAAGTTTCGTTCTGTTGTTGATGCTTGCGCACTAACAGGTAAGTTTTTCATATCACGTTATATTATTAATATCATTTTGTGAATTTTAAATGTATCTAAACGTATAATTTCTCAGAGGATCTGAACATTCTGGGCTGGAACGCATACGTAGGGGAAGGAGGCTGCACACTGAGCGGCGGTCAACGAACTCGGATCGCCTTAGCTCGAGCAGTTTATCAGGACAAAGAAGGTATTTACAGAAGTTATATTCATTTCATTCAAAATATAGTTTCACTTATTTGTAAAGTATCACTAACTGGAGGGTAATGTTCCGTGCAGTGTACTTGTTGGACGACATCCTGTCGGGTGTGGACGCGCGCGTGGCGGCGCACATAGTGCAGCGCTGCGTGCTGGGCGTGCTGCGACATCGCACGCGGCTGCTGGTCGCGCACTCGCCCCGACACCTCGCGCGCGCGCACCGCGTCATACTGCTGCATCATGGAAAACTTATCGCACATGGTAACTACCATGAAGTTGTTGAAAGTTCATAACTATTCCGTTAGAAAAAAGAATACTAGCCATTGAAATACGAATCTGATGTCCGTTTCAGTGACCTTTCTTTCTTTTGGTGTAGAGATTAGATCAATTCTAATTTTTTTATTTACAGGTCCCCCGGAACTAGTTTTAAATGAGATTGAGGAGTTTCTTCCCAGTGAAACTGATACATTGGGCGAGGAACCCATCACAGAGAGAGAGCATAATACCGTAGAAGAATCTTTGGACAACATTAGCAGACAAAGCTTGGACAATGAGGTAGAGAAGTTGTAAAATTCTTGACTTTTTAAATAATTGATATCTCCCCAGTTAAAATAATAATATTTTCTAATTTATTTACAGGAAACAATGTCGATAGGTTCAGTTGGTTGGTGGGTTATATGCTTATATTTGCGATCTGTTGGCCTCTTCCTATCAGTGGCTATTGTGATATCACTCATATTGATGCAACTCTCTCAGAACTACACCTTCCTCTGGCTAACGTTTTGGATTAAAAACCGAGCGGCCAACTCGACCAGCCTCAATACAAATACATTACTCGAAAGTCCGCACGAAACTCAAACAGTAATGGACCACGGATTCAATATTATGGATAACGTTATACAACGCATATTAAATGGTTCTTTACCAATTCTTCATAATGATGAAGTAACAGTAACTAAATCAACCAATATCCCTGATTTGAAACTTACACTTAGATATGATGATAATTTTTATTTGGAGATGTATTTTGTGTTGGCCGGTCTGAATTTGTTGTTCACTGTGATGCGAGCGTTTCTATTCGCATACGGAGGGGTCAAGGCCGCTGGAAGAATACATAGGATACTTGTTAACGTTATTATTAGAGTAAGTTGTTTTTCTTTTTATTTTTTTTATTACTTGTAAAAGGCACTTAAAATAAGCATGAATGTATAAGAATTACTTTGTGTAACATCACAATTAATAAAGTAAATAAATAAAAAATTAACTACTTTTAGGCTAAAGTGAAGTTTTTCGACGTCACACCTACGGGTAGGATTATGAATAGATTTTCTTCAGATACGTATACAATCGATGACTCGTTGCCGTTCATACTCAACATTCTATTGGCTCAGGTGTTCGCTTTGATCGGTGAGACTTTTTTGTCTATTAATATTAATAAAATTAATATTCTACCTTAATTTATAGATAATAAATAATCATAATCAGATCACAATACGAAGAATCTGACATACGCTGGTTTCTGATGTCCAGGAGGTGTGGCGGTGACAGTGTACGGGCTGCCGTGGCTGGCGGTGGCGCTGCTGCCGCTGGCGCTGGCGTACCACCACCTGCAGCGCCGGTACCGCGCCGCCTCCCGCCAGCTTAAGCGCCTGCAGAGCGTCGCTCTCTCACCTGTTTACGTACACTTTAACGACACGCTAGAAGGTATGCACCGTTACAATAGTACGACTTACAAAATATTGATTATATACAAATCATTGTATATGGGCAAAACGACCATATGAAACCATAGTACTCGTATACTATGAAAACTCTGTATGTTTTTTCATTTTAGGATTATTTTTTTATAATTTCAATTTAGTACTTTTCTATTGTGTGTTGTGGTATAGGTCTGACGGTGGTGCGTGCGCTGGGCGCGTGCGGGCGGTGGGGCGAGCGCGGCGAGGAGCTGTGCGAGGGGTGGCAGCGCGCGGCGCTGTGCGGGGCGGCGGCGGCGCAGTGGCTGGCGCTGCGGCTGCAGGCTGCCGCCGCCGCCACCGTCGCCGCCGCCGCGCTCATCGCAGTGCTGCAGCGCGCCACGCATGCTGCAGACCCGGGTACCCTACTTTATTACCCAAACCGTCTCGTATCTTCCGCCAAAAAGACGCCGTCCGAGAAGTTAAGGATTCATAGAAATGTGGACCTTTTCTTAATAAATATAAAACTGTGTGCAGGTCTGGTAGGTCTGGCAATATCATACGCGCTGTCGCTGACCTCAGTGCTGAGCAGCGTGCTCAACTCCTTCACAGAAACTGAGCGCGAAATGATCGCCGTCGAACGTGTCGGCGAGTACATCACGCAGGTATATACTCTAATGCTGATTTTTATAATCAATTTGTGGATTAAATTATATTAATTTCATTCTATAACAATAATTATTATTTGCGTCAAGGTGGAAAGCGAAAAGATAGACGGTGACCCGCCGCCGTACGGCTGGCCCTCGCACGGTGTTATCAGCTTCGAAGATGTTTACCTTAACTACAAGTAAGTCAAAAACACTAGTGATAAATTCAACTCAGATTAGATGTAAAAAGAGTGAGAGGTTGGTAAAAAAGGGAAAAATTACAACAGGGATGCGGTGTAAGAAAGTGTTACGTTTTTTGTCAGCGGGGAGCGTTCGTGCGCGGCGCTGTGCGGGGTGACGTTTGCGAGCCGGCCGGGTGAGCGGCTGGCGGTGGTGGGCCGCACGGGCGCCGGCAAGAGCTCGCTGCTGCGTGCCCTGCTGCGCCTCGCCACCCCCGCCGCTGGCCGCGTGCTGCTCGACGGCGTCGACGTCGCCACGCTGCATCTGCACGCGCTCAGGTATCTACAACTACCATCAAATTCATCTCTATGTGGAAGTGTCTTTATCAGTATTAAATATGTTCGGTGTTTAGGTCTCGACTGGGCGTGATACCGCAGGAGCCGTTCATCTTCTCCGGCAGCGTGCTGGAGAACGTGGACCCGCTGCGGCAGCACGGTGAGGCGGAGGTGTTGCGCGCGCTGACGGCGTGCGGCGCGCGTGAAGCTGTGGACGCCCGAGGCGGTCTGCACGCGCCCGCAGCGAACCTGGCTCGCGGGCACGCTCAGCTGCTCTGCCTCGCGCGCGCCCTCCTGCAGCGGTCCAAGGTACAAACGACCTTCCCATACTAACAATCATTAATACTTTAATTATCCAATACTATCATCAAGCTCTCTATGGAATGTATAGGGAACAATATGTTAAATACATGTGCTTGAGTACAGTAATTTGTATGTTTAACATTGTGTTATGTATTCAGGTGTTGCTAGTAGACGAGGCGACGGCCAACTTGGACCAGGAGGCGGAGCGTGTGATATTAGAGACGATCAGATGCTCGTTCGCGGGTAGCACGGTGGTGTACGTGGCGCACCGCGCGGCCGGCGTGCTGCAGTGCGAGCGCGTGCTCGTGCTTGCCGCCGGGCGCGCGCTCGAGCTGCGCGAACCGAACGACGCGCTCGCCGACACAGATTCGCATCTCTACAAGCTGCTCAACCCACAACACGATTGAACACAAAACACAAAGTATTGACAAAGCTATAAACAAGTCAGTATCAATAATAAATGTTTTCGGTTTCAGATCTGGACTAAGTTTTGCTTACATCATTGATTTCCTAAGTTACCATAATTTTCAAGATTAGTAATGTTGATCCGTTCTTGACTTAAAGCGAAACAAGACTACGGACCTGGCTTAGATATTGAGGCCAAATGACATTAACATGGATGCATGGTCCAGAAATATTTTAGGACTTGTGTGTTCTAGTTGAGACTGACAGTTGTCTGTAATTATTATAATTTACAACGAAATGAACATAACATTTATATTTTTTTTAAATAATAGTTGTTGATTTTGTAAGATCTCATTGTCTTCGATTTGTAGATACATGATCATTAAACGATGAATTTAAGTTTTCATAGTTATGTTGCAAGATTCTAAATAAAAAAAAATTGCTCAAATTTTTTTTTCTTTACTAAATCTAAGACATCGTAATCTTGTCAAGATTTATACATGTTTTCGTTATTAGTCATTTGGATTACAAACATTGACAGATTTATTGTTTTTAGGTCGTAAAATCTAGTCCATAAAATACTACTCGAGCACAATAACATGAGACCTGAGTCTGATTACGTATAATTTAGACTTACAGCATAGCAGTGTTAATTTAAAAAAATAACATTACATTTATAACCTGCACCGTCCAACAGCGACACAAACCTGCTTGTATACAATCGATGCAAGTATCATGTTATCGTGCCGCATAGCGCTTATAATTTAATTTATACTAACGGTCAATGCAAAATTAAAACTACATTTTAAATATTCCCGCACACATAGGACGTTTTACAGTAAAACTGGTTTGCAGACAAGCTGACAAAATAAAAAATGGGTTTTCGTTGTAACTAAAGCAAATATGTTTTTTTTTATATTACATACAGAGACTCTAATTTTATTAATATGTAAGTACATATATACATAGACTAAAAGAAAAAACATACTTGCCATGACCCGGTTTAAAAGAAACATTTTAATGCAATAAAAGAACCGTTACTTCTAAATTAAATCCTGTCAATGAGATTCATTTTGAATTATTTTATATTATATTTTTATTTTATAAAGCGACGGAATTGAGTATTAGAGATAATAGTTTAATCACATTTTATTTGTTTTTTTTACTATTAGTTTCTACAGCCTGTGTTATGTTCACTTGATAATTAATATTTTAATTAATTTTAATTTAATTATTATCTGTACATTTTACGCCACAGCTTGTATTAAACATTCCAAAGAGTTATTGTAAATATACTAAGCTGTATTACTTTTATTTCTTATAAAGCTGTGTGTTGTTTCTGTTCTTTTCTGAGACTAAATATAAAAAAATATCGTTAAAAGAATTAATATTCGTTTTCTCAAAGGACTAATAAAAAAATTGGACATTAATTTTAGATCAATAATAATAGTACGAGTGAGTTATTTCTTTCGATTCAGATTTCGAGAGCTAGTCGCTACTAACTTCGTTATTAAAGATACATTTTCATTAATGAAATCATTTCTTAATTTATATTTAACGAAAACTGTTTGCTAGATTATAGCTTATTACTATTTGCAAATTCATGCAATTTCCTTATGTATTTGTTCCCTATCCTATCATTTAAGTGGCATCGTGCGGGTTTTAAACGGGAATTAATTTCGTATCAATTTAATTTCTTTATTAGTTAAACTTACTTTCTATTTTTTTAAACTAACCGCATGATGTTATATTGAAAGTGTTAAAAGAGTTTGTATTAGTGTTGTTTTTTTAAGTCAGCACCTGTTGTCAATTTTATAAAGTTTTATTAATTATGATTAGCGTATTATCTTGAGAAATTTAAGTCTTGTGATATAATAAGCCTTATCGTTTATCAATTTTAAGAATAAATATGATGATGACAATGTCTTGTTTTATTTGTTATCTCTACAAATTACGTTCTTCTGGTTTCTTGTACGGGTATTCAATGTAGTCGAAGATATCTTCCTCAGATGCTATCGGGACTGGTTCGCCGGGAACGCCTGTTGACGGAGACAAACGTTATTATGAGATTCCACTGTCAAAACACTTGTATGAAAACATATTGTTGCACATGGAGACAATATGTCCTAATAAAAGTGTTGAAAAAACGTTGGGTCTTACCAGTTGAACCCATAGGTCTCAAATAATATTCATTGAGGGTGAAACCCTTTTCCAAAGCATGTGTTCGCATAGTCTTATTAAAGACATCACTGCCCGTGAAATAAAGGACGGCACAGTGGTACTGTTCGCACGGAATAAGTCGTATATCCAGACGTCGGGCAGGTAAGTCGTCAGAGAGACGACAGACACCCTGTATAGAGAAATACAAGGGTATCATACCAGCTGGTTATAATTTAGCAAGAACAACATGAGATTAGCGACATCTGTCCAGTACTGACTATGTTATAGGCGAGTTTTGTTTTACCATAAATTTTGTATCTCCCATAGAAATAACGTCGATAATGAGACCTTCAAGATTATCAACTAATCTTTTTAACATTGTTTCGCCGTGTTTTTTCTTTGCTCCTTCCAGTTTTAAAGACGAGTGAGTCGCTAGAACATCAATATCGCCGCTTTCTGCTTTTCCGCGTCTGTAACGATACGTGAAAAAATAATTTCTTCTACGCAAAATTTGGCCCTTCTAGATTTTAGATCAATTTTATGAAAAGGCTCTGCAGGAAATTAAACCGCATTTTTTTATTTTACCACCTTGCAGGCGTTGTAAAGAAAGTAAGATCTCTTTTTTTCATCGTACTTGTTATTTAGATTTACCTGAAACTTCCGCATATAGTTATTGTAAAATTACTATCAAAGCCAATGACAAGTGCTTTTAACTTATTTTCTATGGCTTGTATTTCAGAACGCGGGATTTTCTTTTCAAAGTCTTCAAAGTATCTGAAATCAATAAAACAACGTTAACCATTTGTCAATTGCAACATATGATTACATTTAAACCAATTTATACTTCCAAGAAATGGAACTTTTCTTTGCCTGTCTTGCTTGCATCATGTAAATGGACCTTCCTTAAGTGTGCAATGCGGTCAACGAGCCATCATAAAGTTTAATTTTAATGATTTATTTTATAATACATATGCTTACTTTAATCCAATCAGCTGATGATGATTTAACAATTGTTTACTGTTCTTAAGATCTTTAATAGTAATAATACCGTCTTTTACCAATTCTGCAGCCTTGACTGGACCTACTCCAGATACTCGTGTAAGCATACTAATGGCCTGGGCCTTTTCATCATTATGTATGGTTTCAATTTTTCTTAATTTTCCAGTCTGAATAAACTCATCGATTTTCTTAGAAATTTTATCTCCAATGCCGTCAAGTTTTTTTGCCTCTTTACCAGACTCAATTTTTTTAGGCTGCGCAGCCAAAACGCTCGCAGCTTTCTTGTAAGCATTATATTTATGGATGTTGCGGCTGACATTTTTTTCATACTCCGCCAATTCCATTAAAAAATCACAAAATTCTGCATTGGGATTTGTAGATTCACATGGATTCTTACGTTTACTCATATTGCAGTTGTACAATGCTGCTGTACAGACTTAAACCTGTAATAATAATATAATAAATCTTTTATTCAGACACATGATCCATACAAAACATTAAGTTAACATTAACAGATATAAGTGCATATGTCCACCGATGGGCACTGAGCACAAAACATTTTAGGATTTTTTTATATGAACGTGCTGTTTATAAAAATGAATGAAACATTTTCTTGATATCTTTTTTTATTTCAATGTTGGTAGAATGTTCACACTTGACATTTAATAAAATTGGGTTCACGAAATGTCAAAGACAAAATTTTATAATAATAGAAAAGTCTATTTTGAGGTTGTTTTAATGTTATTGTCGCAAAATTTTTAAGTTGTGCTTTAGCGAATTGAACAGTATGTGCTACGATATGAATGTTGTTTGTAGTTTAAAGGAATTTAAAAATGGAAGAATACCTGTAATGCCACAGTAACAAGTTTCGTGATGGATAACGTAACTGAAAAACTATTGGAATGTTTTGGTCACAGAAAATTCAAAAGTGAACTTCAAGAGCGAGCTGTTCGAGCGATTGCTAGAGGTAATTGTACAATATAACGCAAATTTCATTTAATTGTGAAAAATATAAAGATCCAAATTGAATTGAACGGTAATAATGCGCGAATTTGACAAACGATGTGACACATTTAATTTGGCTGTATAATAGTAGTGCTACCACAATTACGGTACTATTTTGCTTTAATTTTATAAACATTATTTTGGGGCAAACTTTTTGCTAAAATAGTGTATTGTTTTTTAGGAACCTAATAATTTTTAAAACATATAACTTATATGTAGTGTATTGCATTTCTTAATATTTATAGTATGTTTTAAAAATTTAAAACATCAAGAATCATAATTATTTTTCATATGAAACATACATTGCTACAAATTAATCAATAAATTTATTTTTAGGTTTATAACTTTAAGCTTTTGTGGTTTTTACTATTTCAGCTTCCAAACAGCTTAATTGTGGTAAAAATCCCATTTCTTACAAACAGTATATTAATTTTAGGTGTCCATGATGTTTATGTTTCAATGCCAACGGGCTCTGGGAAGTCTCTGTGCTTCCAGTTGCCAGCAATGCTGCAAGATAATAAAGTGGCTATTGTATTCTCACCATTACTGGCACTCATCAAAGATCAGATTGATCACTTGACAAAATTTAAAATACAGGCTGAATCAATAAACTCTAAAATGAGCACAAAAGATAGGGAGAGGGTTATCAATGATCTTAGAAGCATGAGACCTAATACTAGATTTTTGTATGTGACCCCTGAACAAGCTGCTACAGGCACATTTAAAAGCCTAATGGAACATCTAGTCAAGTATAAAAAAGTTTCTTATGTAGTTGTTGATGAGGCTCACTGTGTCAGTGAGTGGGGGCATGATTTCCGACCTGATTATTTAAAATTGGGTGATCTAAGAGAATTGTACAGAAGTATACCATGGGTAGCTCTCACTGCAACTGCTAGTGCCGAGGTTGCAAAAGATATCCTCTCCAATCTAAAACTACTGCAACCTGTTGCACAATATAAGACACCAAGTTTCCGAAAAAATTTGTATTATGATGTCATATATCAAAATTGCATTGAAGATGAAATTGGTGACTTATGTGAGTTTTTAAAGAAAAGTTTAAAGGAGGATGAGAATGTTAAGCCAGTAAGTATTTTATATGGTACTTTTTGCCTCTGTTTTGCTGTATTGCTTAAGTATTTTTTTACTTACAGAAAGACAAAAGTGCAGTAATAGTCTACTGTAGAACTCGTGAACAAACTGAGGAATTAGCTCATATGTTGAACAAAAGGGGTCTAAACTCACTGGCATATCATGGAGGTATTGGCATTGCATATTATTGCATACACTTTACTGTTTATTCTAAGGTTGAACTAAAAATAAGCTACTCAATACAACATTTCCTTCTCAAAATTTATATACTCGGATTGTTTTGGGTTTGAGTATATTACTTAGAACTTACGATGTATATGACATAGGTTTAAAGGCATCAGAACGCATATCAGTACAAGAGCGGTGGTCCGGAGGTGAATGCCCGTGCGTGTGCGCGACGCTTTCGTTCGGTATGGGTGTGGACAAGGCTACAGTGCGCGCAGTTGCTCACTGGGGTCTCGCGCAAAATGTCGCTGCTTACTATCAGGTAAAGTTAATATCACAACTTTAGTATGCAATTGATATAAATGTATGCTATTTAAGTTCACTACACTATGGAGGACCATTTAACAACATAATTGTGGCAGTTAGATATTATTTTACACATTTAATTCAGTTATATATGAATTTTCAGGAATCGGGTCGTGCTGGCCGCGATGGTAAACCAGCATTTTGTCGTATTTATTATTGTGGAAAGGAACGAAATGCAGTCGACTTCCTTCTCAAAGCGGAGATGGCGCGCGCTCGCACTCCTGAACAAAAACAACGCTGCAAAAATGCATACAAGAGCTTCGAACTGATGGTCAAATACTGCGAGGAAGTAAAGTAAGTAATCATAAAATGATTCAATCATGTAAAGTTCAATTTTATTCACGAAATCCGCTCTGGTCCCTGCCCCAGTCTGTGCGAAAAAACCTTTTATGAAATAAATATGTATTAAAAACTTTTACAAAAGCTGATATCATTTTGTATATCAAGCTGAGACAAATACACACATTTTGACATCCACAATTGCAGTCTTGCCTACCTTCAATCGATATCTTGTCTGATCAGGTTTTGATATAATTAATGTTGTATGGTTAGATGTCGTCACAAGAGGTTCGCGGACTACTTCGGTGAGGAGGGTCCGCGGTGCGGGGGCCGCTGCGACGTGTGCCACGACGAGCGCGCCGTGCGTCGCGCGCTCGACCAGCACCAGCGTCGCGCCATGAGCGCCAGTCTGCAGCGCGGCGGCTTCATTGCACACGATGCGCACGACGCACAGGACGCACAAGATCTCTACGGAAATGGACGGATGGGCCTCAGGTTGTTATACTTGCTTACTACGACACTATAACGTACAATGTTAGCATTTAGGCCCTCGTTCTAGGGTCAAAGTGCTCCATTATCTCCCGGCAAGACAATACTAATGCGCATGCGCCTATCTCATTTTATCTCTTGGTAATTTAGCATAACATCTTGTAAACAGGGACATGGCGTCGTACTACGACGGCGGAGAGAGCGACGGCTCTGACGGGGAGAGTCGACGCGTGGGGGAGGAGACAAAGTCGCTCATACTCAAAGAGTTTGCGGAGAGGAAGAAGCGCATCACTGATGTTGACAGGCAGGCGAGCGACGCCGTCAGCGCTGTCAACTCTAAATGCAGGGCCGCTGAGAATACCGCCACAAAAGTAATTATTCCATACATTTCTGTCTTTATTAAATAATATTACATACCAAATTGTATATAAATACATAGTTAAGTAATATAAACCCATGTTTTTCTAGGTAAACGGTCTAACGGTAGAGAGTCGAGACAGCTATCTTTCATTCTTGATAGAAGCTCTAAACACTAACTTGGCCAGCATGAAAGATGTCGATGAACCAGAGAAGCCTTTGAAACGTAAAGACGTGGAGCAGTGCGCCATAGACCTGGAGTACGAGGCCTTCTCTAATAGCACAGTAATAAGCCTCTATAGGAGGGCCATGATCAAATTGGTAAGATACATTCACTATAACCTACTGTTCCAAAACAAAAACATATTGTCATCTCTTTCGTACTTTTTAAAAGAACTGTATGTATTTTGTTTGCCATTTAATTTTAGATTTCATCTGTGAAAGCTTGTACCGAGCACTTATTTCCGAGGTTAAAGAAATTCGAACCTCGCATGGGGGAGACCCTCGGCGATTTCGTTCGAGACTTCGAAGCGAAGAAACAAAACCAATACGGATTTATAACTGCTAGTCAGCTGGAAAGTGGTAAGATTTGTTTAGACTACGACTCCCAATGTGACATCTTATTTATCTCAATATGTAATTGATATTTAATTCTTAGATGTGATCAAGTATTAATTTCACTTTATACTATTATTGTAGCAAATATGGGTGAAAAAAGCGATGCGAGACTTTTATCTAAAGCTGACAAAGAAAGTAAAAGGAAAGCTAATTCATTTAAAAAAGATCCATTAACCCAAACCAAACTACAAAACTTTTTCACACAAATACCTTCAAACGTGTCGACCCCAGCTTCCGATGAAAGTGAAGATGAAAATACTCTGATAATAGACGAAACCCCTAAAAGTAACCACAATGATACAACCATAAAGGTAGAAGAAACGAATAAAGAAGCAACTATTGATGATAATTGTACAGAACCTGACGACATTAAATGTGAAAAAGATAAATTAACAAAAAGTTTGTCGAAAACTTTTGTCATAAATATAACTTTAGAAGGTGTGTCAAGTAAAAGTTCCTCAAAAGAATCCAGCGGTAATCAAAATGATAAGAAGAAAGATATTAAAAATGAGAACAAAGATGTTGTCAAGGAATCAAAATCACCAAGTAAAATAAAACCTACCGCAAAACGAAAAATAAAAGCTTTATTTGGAGAGTCTTCTGACAGTGAAGTGGAAGAGAAAAGAAATGATAAACACAATACAAAAGTAAAACATAAACATCACAAATCTTCTAAGGAGAAAAAGCGTAAGCTAAGTGAGTCATCACTAGATAAAGTTATCAAAACAGAAAAGAAAACTGAAGATAATCTAAAGAAATCTTTAAAAGATTGTGATGTATATGGAGACTTATCTAATAGTGATTCTGAGAAGGAGCTAGTTATTGATGAACATATGGAATCTCAAGATAATAGTAATGAAGTGACAAATTCTATTCATAATAGTTTTAATAAAAAGAAACTTTCGCCACAAACTGAATCTGATAACAGAACAAGTAATGATGATTCCGTTAACACTAGTACCGGAGATGGTGGAGAAAGTGACGTCAAGTCAGACAGAGAACAGATTATTTCGGATCCTCAATCAGCTAATACAGACGACACAAATCTTTTCAAAGCACACAAACTAAGTATTGAAGCTGACAAAGTATTAATGGAACTAAAACAATTTTCTGAAATGCCACCCGAACCAGCACCAATAGTAAACATTGTTCCCGAAGTTATACCAATTAAAGTGAATGAACCTAAATCACCAATAAGTAAAGATAAATTAAAGGATAAACATAAAGACAAGCATAGACACAAACATAAATCAAGTTCCAACAAAGAAATTAAAGAAAAACAAGCAGAGAAACCAAAACAAGAAGAGATTAAGAAGGAAAAAGAGAAAAAAGATAGCGAAAAACAAACAAATAAATTATCAACACATGTCAAAGAACCTAAGAAATCAGAAAAAGTAGATGTAGCTGGTTTGGTTGTTAAATTACTTATGCCTTATTATAAGAAAAAGAAAATCAGTACTCGAGACTTGTTTAAGATCACAGCAAGGCACATAGTGCATCAGTTGTTAGCTATACAAGTCACAGGTAAAATTGCTTTATCTATTTTCTTCTGCATATGTCTTTTATATTATTTAGTATTAATAATGTAAAATCTTGTTTCTTTCAGAGGAAGCAGCGATCAATGTCTTATTAAAGAAGACTTTCTCAAAGGAAGTCAAAATTGAAAAAGAAAGTGACTTACCAGTGCAGATAGATCTAAGTAAAATATTGTAAGATGTTGTTGGATAAGAATTTATTTTTACTATTGCCTATTTATTTACTAAGTGTATTTTGACTCTAATGTTGTAATTAATATGGTGTACTTTAATCATATTTTATTAGATTCTTGTTCGATTAAAGGTTATTTTGATTAGAAGATGATTTGACTTACCATTTTAAACCACCCGTTAAACTCCGTCACTCTCTATGGGTTGAGAACCAGATAAAAAACTGGATAGATTCACGAAAAATGTATTTAATACATTTACTTACAATAAAATAAAGAACAAGAACTTAAATATAATAAGGAACGATTTCACATTCTAATGTTATATATAGTTCAAAATGTATAAGATTACAAATTACATGTTTTATAGCTTAGAATTATTTTAGTATAATGTTAGGACTAACATACATTTATATGGATAGTTTATAAATCTTTAATATACAAATGCCGCTATATATTATCATAGGGTGGGGTGTGGCTCGTGGGCGTGGCGCCCTTGAGGTGCGGGTGGGGCCTGTGGAGCGTGTAGGCGGGGCGCTACGTCTATATCCGGAGCGCGCGCTTGGGGTGGGGATGTGGGTCGTGGTGACGGTGGGCGGGGCGCTTGCGCGGTGCACGCGGCGTGTCGGGGTCGGGCGGCGCCGAAGAGGTCACCAGGTTGCGTGCATTGCCGAACGACAGCTCTAGCCCGATCGTCTCCTGGAACTGCCGGATACGCTGCACCAGCTCCTCGTCCAGCTGGATTAACTCCTCGATCTGAATAGAAAATTATTGTTATAATAATGTTAGATTCGAGATGTCGGATGGCTAAATGTGGAATTGGTGGTCTGACCAATTAATTTACCCCTAAAGGAAGCATCACATTGTCTAGAAAACTGTAATAAGCACTCTAGATGAAGAAAAATCCAATTAGTTTTTTGGAATATGCAATCTGCAATACAATGAAGAACGGCGACTGAGGTTAGGTTGAGTTAGAAAATGAAATGCAATTGTAGATAAGTAAGCAATATTACCTCTTGCCGGTAGTCTGTGAGCAGGTCGGTGGCGATGCGCACGAGGTACGCGGCGAGCTGTCCGCCGCGCGGGCGCATGTGCGCGTACAGCCGCAGCACAGCGGGCACCAGCACCTCCGCCACAGTGCGCTTCATTTTCTGTACGCATACATTTATTATAAAATATAAATAATCTGCAGTACAACTATCACATATACTTGCGAGTCGGTGAAACGTGTTAATTATATTTCTTTCTATATTAATATGTTCGTATCCTTCGTTTTAATTTAGTTCAATTTCTTTCAAAAGCTTAAATTTAATTCAATTCCATACATGGCGGCCAAATTTATATGTCTTTTTACCGAGTTAAATCTCTGTTTAAAACATATTGTCATCTCTTTTTCGTCAGAGATAATGACAAGGATGACAATATCTTTTATGCAGATTTTGATCTATGAAACCAACAATTAGTAATTTGTGAAAATTGTGTTAATAAAGTGATGTAATTGTTGTATCATTACTATTGATTTTTGATTACTAAAAATACACAATACTAAAAATAAACAAAACTTGCACAATACATGCCATCTAAGAAGGTGAACTTTAAACATGCTAATTGACAAAACAAATTAAATTAGCATTTATTAAAGCGTTAAAACTAAACGATTTATAAATCTTTTGTACCCCCCCCCGTACAGTACGTAAAGAATAATTGGGACTTTGAATTCACAAAATCTAGTATATAACAAAATACTACGAGTGGTCTATTCTAACTATACAAACAAGGCAGAATAAAGTTGCAGAAAATATATTGTGACATACATTTCACACTTAAAAAAAAATAAAATACAGGATTATCTATGGTCTTTGAAATAACTTACTTTTATTTTGGGGTCCTCGGGCATCTTAACATTTAAATGTAAAATTATTATGATTTTCAATGATATCCAAAGGTTGATCTAACATAAGTAGAATATACTTGCATTTGTCTATGAAATTGTAGCTCGTAAATCTTAACAAATATTTTATATGAATGATGTTATTCTACTAATACTTACATAGGAAACTATATTGCTTGTAACTCTCTCGGTTAGGTCGTCTATGTCCGCTATATCACCTGTAGTCTGTGGTTTTTCTACAAAATAAAAGACACAAATAATATACGGGGTACACAAATAATACCCTAAAATTATACTTAGGTAAAAATATTCCATACATATTGTATGTGTACAGTATCACAATGTCCCCGATTTGGAAGGCCAAAACCTATTGCGTCAACCCCACATAAAGTGGTATAATAGGATAGGAAGGTGAAACAATTTACTGGGTAACTTCATCCTGGGTCCGCAGAGCAGCGTGATAGTATCAAGCAGTGCAGCGTGCAACGTGTCGGGCAGAGTGTCACTCTCGTCGCACAGGTCGGCGGCGTGCTGCAGCACCTCGCGCGCCACGCGGCACTGCACGTTCAGCTTCTGCACCGCCGACAGCCGCTGCAGCATCACGTCGTAGATCAACTGCCGCGCGTCAAACGACAGCCCACCGCCTACTTCCAACAGCGTCAATTAGGGTAAAAGAGACCGTTATTGCCCTAGTGCGAGACGGTTTTCATCGGCAGCCAGCTTTATTTGGTTTTAAGTTAATCAACATATGCAACAATTGTAAGAATGTGAATAGTATTCAATATAAATTTTAATTTAGTTTAGAGTCGTTAACAAATATATAATAAGTATTTGACCTTCATCGCTGTTGTAGTAAAGCAGACAGTCGACGAAGTGATGGTAGATGTGGTCTGTGGTGAGGCAACTGCTTACGTAGTACTCGGCCGGCTCGCGCACGTCGTGCTCCTCGTCCGCCAGCAGCGCGCAGTAACTGCATACAATCATAAACATCATTTATCTAGAGACTTAAAATCTCTTCTATTTCAATAAACTCAAGCGAATTGCTTCTAGCTCTACAGACCTTTGTGGTTGTCGCTTGACACTTTATTTGACCATTACTCTTGCAAAAATCGATGCGTTTAAAAGTTTTTGCGATCTAATTTACATATTTCATGCAATGGAGCAGTTTCTTACCATCAATGAACCTTTCTCTTTGTTAGTCATAAGTTTCTTATAGATTGTCACCTATATTAAAATGAAAAGACGCAGCTATGGTGTTCGATCGTTTGTGTGTCAATACCGGTAGTATAGCGGCGTGCGCAGGCGCAGGTAGCCTGCCAACAGGAGACGCGTGAGGGCGCGTGCGGCGGCGCGGCGTAGCGGGGGCGCCGTGCCGATGTCCACACACTGACTGATCGACCCCAGCAGCGGCTCCACGATACAAGCATACCTAGTGATACACGCGATATTAATTATATCATTAAGGAAAATATTATAGAATAGTGTTTGATGAGTCCATCTGATGCACACAATACGTAAACAAGGCTTGGTTCTATATAAGCACTCGGGATACGATTTTAAGTCACCTTAACCATCTAAACCAAGATATGAACTTAATTTATCAAATTTACATCAACGTTATCCTTACAGGAGGTTTAATTAAATTTTCGGTTACTTCGAAATCATTAAAACTATGTCGGAAAGGGTTACTAATAAATATAATGTGTTTGTAATAAACTGACCTGATGCATATGTCAGTGAGTGCGAGCAGTGCGTTAAGGCGAGCGGGCAGAGGGGCGCGCGCGTCGCGCAGCAGTGCTGCAAGCGGCGGCGCGGCGGAGGCGGCGGCGGCACGCGACCGCAGGCACACCCTCCCCGCCCCCACCACACACGCGCTCACCTCCTGTACCCCGCACCCCTCACCCACCACGCTCACCTCGCCGCCTTCGCCCGCGCCCGCGCCTTCGCCAGCGCCCTCGCCCGCGCCAGCGCCCGCGCCCTCGCCCTCGCCCGCGCCCGCGCCATCTCCATCGCCCTCGCCTACAATACACACAGAATGCTAAAGTGACTGAAATATCTCCTAACAAAACCTTACAATATCTTGTTAAGTGCCCAGATACAGTCACAATCGAAAGACACTAAGAAATGTTGATAACCAATCATCAAAAGCAAAGTAATTTTATTTCAAGTTGAATGTACAATTAGAAAGATTAATAGTGTAATGAGAGTGTTACATGATGCGGGGTGTTGAATGCGCTGCAGCAGCGAGTGCAGCAGGTCTGGCGAGGGCGGGTCGGGCGCCACCAGCGCCAGGTCAGCCGCGCGCACGCACTCCGCCACTGCGCCCGCGCCGCCGCCCGCAGCGCGCGTCTCCGCTGTACGTACCAACATGTTTTATACAATGCCTTATGTGTGGCGGTGCTATCATTAGCGTCCAAGTTATTCTAGCTATAAGAGTATATCTATATGAAAAAATACTTACCGATTTTCATAAGATGTGACGCCCATTCTAAATTATTTGGGTCTAGGTGTGCCGCTAGATTGACACGGTCGGGTCTGCAACCTTTAAATGGAATTACACGATCGATTTAAAAATAGGTCATCATAGTTTAACTGCTACGAGAGAAACCCTTAGTATAGGTTTAATATGACAAATCTACTACTTAAATTTGAGTCTATAAATTAAAAAAAATGTTCCGTTAAGGACTCGCTGAAAGGTTTCATGTTAAGGTTGTATGACTAATTACCATCGTCTTCAGTGGATGCGGCGGCCAGCTTCTGCAGCAGATGTTGCCGGAGCGCCTCGCGGTCCGTCGCACTCAGCCAGCGCGACCACAGTGTAAGCATTTCCAATGTCATAGCCACGATACGGATATCCGCTTTCTGTTAAATAATTGTGGTTTTTTGCTTACAAGTGCTTAGCTATTTACAAAAAAATGTAATTTGTTCAATGATATATCTAAAACTAATAAATTCCAAATTATTTACTGTCTTTTCTTTAATACCTATTCTTTTTAATTATATAAGATATTTACAATGATAAAAACCTACAATTTTTTTCTTCCAGTAAAACTATTTTTTTTTTAATTTATTATAAAGAACAAACATTTATGTAATTACAATTTATTCCACCCAAGGCATAAAACCTTTTGCGTCAACCACATGTGAGTGCGATATGGACATGGAGATTATGATAAACACTTTAATTCACAAAAAAAATGTAATGTATGAAATTTGAAGTATATCTTTGAATTTTTGTAAGGAGATATAAAGTTGTAAGAAGCACAAAGGAAGAGTTACCTGTACATCATGTTCTAGCTTGTAGAAGTATTGCAGGAGGAAGTGAAGTTGTTCGCAGTGGAGGTGCCTGGCGACGCAGGTGAGCAGCGCCAGGCACTGCAGGTCACGTGACGCGCTCACACTGCCCAGGTGAGATCTTAATATCTCTATCAGTCGGTCGCTGACAAATAAAACGTAAACTCACCTCACTGTGTTTCTCATTTTATTGATTAGGAAATAATTCATTTTAAAAACATTTTGTTTTTATTAACTGCAAATACTACAGACACATAAAATCTGTATATATTATATAAAAGAAAGTCGCGTTAATTCCACTATTGATAACTAAAGAACGGTTGAACGGATTTGGCTCAAAATTAATAGGAGGGTAGTTTAGAACCAGGAGACGATCATCGGATATTTTATCCCGTTTCTGATTTTTTTTTAACTCCGTGCGGACGGAGTCAAGTTCAAAAGCCAGTATGTTTTAAGTAATTCCATCAGTATACCATAATCAAAATTTGAAATTAAAAAATCTTTACGTTATGCATTTTGATGCTTTATGCAGTAGCGTGCAAGCCTTCTGCAAGTGTCGGCGCATGTTCTTGCGCACGATGGCCGCGAGGAACATCCAGGGCAGCGGGTCCTCGTTTGCTATGGCGCTGTGCGTGCGCATCCGATCGAACAAGATTTGCTGGATTTGGGTCAATACTTGATCTTGTACCTATGTATTAAAAAACATAAAACGTTATGTTGATTTACACAGAGTCAATTTACATCTTACTAATATTATAAATGCGACTGTTTAGATGGATGGATGGAAGTTTGAAGGTATCTGAAGAACTGATCAAAAGATCTCGATGATATTTGTCATAAATATAGAACATAGTCTAGAAGAACACATAAGCTATGTACTTATATATTTTTTAATTCTGTACTGGAATACACATTCCAGTATTTACGTGTGTGAGTGCGTGCGAGCACGTATTTGATATATTGTAAATATAAGAATTTATTAAGTGGTATGCTTGGTACCTTAGGCTCAGGATCGGAGAGCTGGTGCATGGGCCCGGTCAGGAAAGCATCCAGCAGCTCGTCGCTCGGCATCTGCGTCACCAGCTCGCCCAACGCAGTAATGGCCGTCGACCGAACTATTATACTCGCGTCGCGGCATAGGCTTATAAGAACCTGTATGTTTTCATTATAATGTACTGACAAAAGATTTTTAAACTCCAGTCTTAAAATAACACAGCGTTGTAAATAGTACCTAAACACGTTCAGAAAAAAATGTGGCGTTGAATATTACACATTTAAAAAGAGGCAATCCTCTACTTTTCGTTACTCTGTATTCTTTCGCTACTCTAAAAGTACACATATATCCTTTAAAGTTCTAAAATTAAATATGGGAAGTGCGTATCTGAGAAAATGTTCTACGAAGACAAAGTTTTTTATGTATTCCTTAGGTTGATGCTGGTGTTTACTATCGTTTATTGTAAGCTTAGAATATAGTTGTGAGTGTAATTACGGCGAGGTCGTTGGGCGTGTGCGTGTGCGCGACGGCGAGGAGACGGTGCGCAAGCGCAGCGGCCGCGCGGCGCACCACCGCGCGCTCGTCGCACACGCAGCGCCCCGCCAGCGCTGCCAGCCGCGACACTTCGCATGTACCGTTCAATTTCTACACCCACAACATACCAACAACTTTAATGAGTCTACAATTTTTGAGCATAAAACAACTTAACTATGGACTGCTAAGTGTTGCTAGATATGAAACTTCATGGGGTAAATATGTATACAATATGAAATATAAGGACAATCTTACTGATTTGTACTAATATTAAAAATGCGAAACTGTTATATATATTAACGGCCTAAATGTTGAACATAATCTGGAATCTAAACCGATTGGATGGCATCGTGGGTTGCAGCTAGTTGTTAATATATATAGATAAGGGGAGAAATTATCACTGAATCTTATCATTGACAAAGTGAATATATATTATTGCTAAAAGTAAAATTAAATATGAAATAACCTTAATAGCGTCCTGTACAGGTGGATGCGTACTGTCGACGCAGTCTGTGAGCACGGCGAGCGCGCGCATACGCACCGTGCTCGACACGTCGTACACGCGGTCGTAGAGCGCGCGCACGATGGCCGCATGCGGTGCGGTGTGCGTGCGCGCCTGCAGCACTTTGCTTAACTCCTCCTCTAACAGTGCATCTTGCTCCTGCTGCTTCTGAAGACAATGGAACACCACTCTTTTTGCTGATATTTTAAACGGTTTTTTTGTTTATATTTTTTTCCTTAGATAGACTGACATTATTCAATTATATTTGGTACTAGTGGTCGCCCGACGACTTCGTCAACGCAATTTAAAGAAAAATAGTCTATAATGTGGCCGCATTCATTAGCTACCTTCCCGTATAAATCCCTTCAAAATCGGTCCTGCCGTTCCGAAGATTACCTGTAACAAACGCGGCCTTGCGGGCGGACAAATAAAAATTTATCTATAAAGTATATAACTGTTATCTTTTTTTTTTCATTTTAAATTAATAAACATAGTTTACATACGGATGAATTGTGATCTTCATTATTTATTTCTCCATTAGTAACAATTTGAACAGTGTTTGGAACTACTGCGGAGACTTCTTCTGTGTCAGTTGTCAACACGCTGGAATCCTGTATACCAGAATCTGAAAATGAAATTGATAGCTGTTATATTTTTGTAGTTAAGATGTGCAAACACTTATTTAATGAATAACGATTAATATTACATTTAACAGAAATATTTTATTTAAAATATACCTGCATCACTTCTGCTTTGATTTTCCAATAAACTTTCATTTGCAACTGATTCCTCAGGATCATTACTTAAAAGTTTACTTAATATTTCCTGAAAATAGAATACTATCTACATTACTATTTGTCTACATACAAATCAATTTATATCTAGCAATTTTTTTTTAATTTCATACACAAAATCTTGATTGCTTTAACATATTATTACCAAACACACTTACCACAGCTATTTGTCTATGTGATACTTTTGATGTTGTTGACAATTTAAGAATCCATTTTATGAAATCCTTATAGGACCTTTTGGGCAGAAGACTCATCAGACCGAGAACGAGAGACATACGAGCGGTACGGACTTCGGCACGCTCCTAAAAATATATTTAAATTATAGAATACTACATATGTCTGAAACACAGTTGAACAACAAATATTGTTTTTTTTTTAATTGATGTACCAACATATTAAAAGCTATGAAATTGCTATTGTTTAAGTCTTACTGGTTTTTAAGACAGGTTTGTGTGTTTCTATCATTATACAAAAATGGAAAATGTTATCATATAATTGAAATAATAATATAAAATGTCTATCACATACCAATCCATCTAATGTATAGCACAGATGTTGAAGTAGAATTACATAACCTGGTAACGCAGCTTTACCAAATTTACTTAGAAGTAATGCTGAATATGTTACATATGATGCTCTGACAATATTCTGAAATGAAGGGATAAAGTTTGCTCATTAAAAAAAAATTATAATCGATGAAAAATGTCTTCTAATTATTTCCAGTGTGCTATTTATGTTACTTACATTACTGTTCCGAGAATCAGTAGATGCTACCACAAGTTTAGGTAGAAGACATTTGAAAAGGACCTGCACAGCTTCTGGACTAGGACTCCCTTTTGAATCACAAACTAAGATGTCGATCATGTTGTAAATACTTGCAGATAAATTTCCTAACTGAACCTTATCTGAAAAGCATATTGTAAAACTATAAGTCAGTATGCATAAAAAAAGATGTTTTATGGTATGTCAGTTTCTTTCTTGCTATTATCTTCAATAATACTTATACCTCAATTTTATTTTCACAGAGTAAGATATTTAAGTCTGATACAAACTTACTTCTTACTTACCTACATTCAATTTTTTAACAATAGCTCCACCAGTAATGTCAACTAAATTACTCAATATGTCTTCAAAATTCATATTGTTTGGTTTTAATTGTAAAGTTTTAATAACTATACTCAGATCATTAGCAAATTCTTGTAAGGATTTTAACGTATCATTGACTTCACGAGTCAATTCACGAATGTTAAAAAAATTTTCTTCATTTTCACATAATTTTTTAGGAAAACTCAAACAAACCAATGAATTTACAAACAGTTGAGAATGATATATGTGATAGGCTTTATATCCAGGAATAGTAAGTAGTTTATAATATAAACGTGAGGACAACAATGCATTATAACGAGACTCATTATTTATAACGTTTTTATTTCCATAGTCAATATAGTAAGCGAGAATTGCTAAAAGTTTTTCATGTTGTATTTCGTGCGAAAGTTTAGCCCATGACTTTTCCTCGTTATTGGTTGTGTCTGAGTCCATCCAAGAATCTATAGATTGCATTATCTCGAGACAAACGTTTTGGTATTCGAAATCTTGAAATGTATTTTCATATTCTGCTGGTAATTCTTCAAATTCAAGAAATTCTGAATTAAATATTGCTTTCACCCAATCTTCACTAAGGTTATACAATTGTAATAGTTCGATTTTATTCAGGATTTCGTTCATTTTAATATCTTTTCAGTATTTTTTTAAAATATTGAACAACAAACATTTATTAATGATTTCTGTTTATATAAGTTTCATGTTTATTTATTGTTTACCATTTACCACAATTGACAATTTTGACATACTATTATTTTAATTTTATGACCTGGTAACATAGACCTTTAGGTCAAATTTTTATTGATTTTAACCAAAGCGTAAAGAAAGTATAGTTTAGTTTGACATTCAATTTTTTTGCTGTGGTCTACTGTATCACATACGGAAAATTTTGTCGTTGTTGAAGCAACCTTGCAACTCACTATATGCACGTATTTGGTAAAAACACTGAAAGATCACTCACATATGCTTTTATCAAAAATAGGTATTGTTTCTGATTAAGATTCAACAAAAAAACTTGTTTTTTTTTTTAATTTAATTTTACGTTTTAGATCTTTGCCCGACTTTGACGGTGGCAATCAAATGACCTAAAGGTCTATGTTACCAGGTCATAAAATTAAAAAAAAAAGATGACAATCAATTGACAATGAATGAAATTGAAAAATGACAATTGGATTATGGGTATAGGTTAAAGGGACTGTAATCATTTTATGATTATAATAAATAAACTTTACGTAATAAGATTTCTTCATATTAAAGCTGGCGCTACTGAAATGCAATTGTAATTTGCTTGTAAAAAAATAAAATGACTACACGAAAGCCAGTTTCTTGGTTTATAACTGAGAAAGGTCGTAATTTTTCGTTTGCAATCGTTACCGGCACTGGGATTGCATTAAGCTGTGCAAGATTTTTGCCACAAACCTTTTTCCTCGAAAATTACAAAGAATTTGTACATTATTACAAGTAAGTTAAATGAAAGTAAAATTTACAAATTATTTATTTATTGTCATAATGTAAACTTATCAGTTATTACAATATTTTAGAGATGGTCAGCAAGTTGGAATTGCAAAAGAACTTTCATCACGCTATGATAAGTGCCTCGAAATTCTAAAATTGACAGATACACACAGAAAACTTATCCAACCCTTTAGTGTTTTTGGTTTTGATTTATTTCATGCAGGTATGTCATTTGTTCTCTTTACATTATTTATTAGGAAAATTTAAATTGTAAACAGGTTTTTTGAGAGATATTCTCGATATTCCAACTATTTATGATGTCACATACATATATCCATAATTTTTTTAACAATTTCCAGGGAGTACAAGTTCAAGATTTGGGGTAGCTATTGGAATCCCTGTCAACTTTGCTTACACTTCTATAGATGACATTAAAAAAGACAGTATTCAGGTTCATAATGTTTCTTTTTATCATGTATAAAAATCAAGCTTTTCTTTTTAGTCAAAATATAAAAAAGTTAAAATTCATTTCAGGTCAATCAAAAAAATATTAATTGGGAGTCTGAAGTTGGAAAAAAGCTAGCAAATGCGCTCATTCTTCCAGATAAGGTACAAGAATTCGCTATTTGCAGAGAAATTTTAATGACCAATAATAACAAAGTGGTGTATGAATCATGCTATCCATTTATGTCCATATTTTTTGTTTACAACCTTTGCCAATATTTGAATAAAAAACTCAATTTGTATGCAGCCCATCCTGTGGTTAGAACTACCATGTATAGTATTGTAGGTTTATTCGGCATTGGAACCTATTTCCTAATGAAGGATTTAACAGAAGTACATTATGAGACAAATGTTGACCAAAAATTGTGTGAACTTGACCCTGAATATGTTGAAAGTGGAGTTATATTCTATGAGAAACTCCTACAGCGAAATCAAGCACTAAGAGAACTGATGGGAAGAGAAGGGGAACGAAAATACACTAAAATGGGTAATGAAAATTATGGCATAAGACAGCCTCATGTAGCATTGATACATAGAAAACAATTTTTTGAAGAGAAACTAAAAGAAAAGGCAGCTCCTGAAGATCTAGAGAAGCCAGAAGAATAAAGTTTAACTAGTCTGTTATTTAGCAATAAATATAAAGTAAAAAAAATATGACTTGTATCAAAAAATTAGAAAAAGATTTATAGATTAAAAGTAAACACTATAATTAATTGAAATCTGTTATGTTTGTACTTTATTACAATAATCTTATTAATTTCCAGAAGAGTATATAAAATGGTTCTGGCCGCTCGTTTGCCCCCTTCTATAAAAAAACTATTTTACTTCTCATATGTTGCCAGTAGAAGGTTGTGGTGCACTCATGATAGGGTTGTATTTTTGGTCAGGCTTTTCATGAGATAAGCCTGTCATACGACGAAGCACTTAGGGAAAACAAACTAAGTTAAAAGCAAAGTGAACATGAGAGTTCGCTGATATTTATGTACAAATATCAAATTGTCAAATCTGTTTTATACTCTGTTTTGTGTACAGATTTTGGACTAGTACTCTGTGGTTTTTAATGATGAAGATCTGTGATTTTAGTTTGATTCTATATTGTCTGTAGTGCTAAATTGGTTATGGTGCTCGTAATGTTATGTTAATAAAATTTTAATTATTTTTTATAGAAAATTGTATTACAACTTCTAACAGTGGAGAAATCTAATAAAAAGTTGTGGAACGTATTCATTCACTTTAGCTTTACTATTTTAAAAGTAAATATAGTCTTTCAACGTCTGTTAAAAGAATATTTAAGTCATGAATATTGCCGTGTTTACAACCACGGTGCTGAATATTTGTTTATGGCTTAATAAATATGGCTTATCTCAATGCCGGCTGCAATGTAAATACTAATAATTCTTCGGATATAATTGACGATACCGATGTTGCAGATGAATTGTCCATAGTACCCTTCGATAAAGATACTTTTGGTAAGTAACGAGTAGTCAACATTTTTAATTAAATTATTTCCCATAATTAAATGTCATTCTATCCTAAAATATTTATTTTGCATAACTTTTTATATTTCTTGTTAAGTATTGGGTTTGTTCCATAAGCTATCCCTGATCCTTCTATCGGATGTAGCAAGGTTCGCCGTTATCAGATACCACCTGCACTATCATGATAGTAATTTATTTATACTTCATGCATGCATTCATTCAACCTCATTTCTCAGTTTTTCATTCATTTTCAATTTTATTACATAGTAACTTGTGAAGTCACACATTTCTCTTACTCAAGGCAGACTCAAGTTTGATGGTTGTGCTTCAAATATAGAAACAACTTTAAAAATCAATGTTACAGCAATATGTGAGTTATGTGGAAAAGTGGGGCGTCGTGGTCATTTTTATCACCGCAATAATCGTTTTTGCTCCCTGAGATGCCACACACGTAAGCAGAGAAGGCGAGATTGTAATTGGAAATTTGAGCTGATGGAAGGAGCTGATCACATGGCAGGCTTAATACCATTAGAACCGCTTCCACAACTGCAACACTGGCAGGCTGCATTTAATGATTTACAGGTACCATATTCAACATTTATTGATTAGAAAACAGATTAGACGTACCTTGACACACAATGAATTTATCTTTAGTTTAAAAAAATATTTCCGAGCAAATAATATTTGTGTCTATTTCACTCCTTATTTTGTTTCAATGGCTTCTTTTGAATCAAAAATCAATTTCTTTTCTACACCACAAAATTGTTGTCTGTGTTATTTTGCATCACTTCCTTGTGATCTTTTTACTAATTAAAAATATCTAAATATTATTAGTATGTAATTAATATGTTTGTTATGAGCTTAAGTTGGTTTTAGTTACTATTATTGCTTATTGGGGTTTTTATATATATATATATAAAAACCTTAATGATGTATGTGTTTTCAGGCAGGACCAATAAAGCAGTCTGCAGCATTGATAGCAAATACATATGAATGGAAAGATGAGTTATTTGGTTGTGACTTTCTTGCAGCGCCTGTGAGTCTATTTAAACATGCCCCCTTACATGAAATGTGGGATAATACCTTTGAAGGCATGAAAGTTGAAGTTAAAAATACTGACTGTGATAATTATTCTGAGAAAAATAATGACTTTTTCTGGGTAGCTTCGGTGTTAAAGGTAAATACCATGTTTAATAAAATACAAGGCCATAATCAACATAGATTATGTTTATTTTTTAATTATTAACTTAGTAAAAATTATTATAAGTAACAATTTAAATGGATTTATCTTGTAGGTAAAAGGTTATATGGGGCTTCTAAGGTATGAAGGATTTGGTAGTGATGATTCAAAAGACTTCTGGGTGAATTTGTGTTGTTCTGAAGTACATCCTGTGGGATGGTGTGCAACAAGAGGCAAGCCACTTATACCACCAAGAAGTATAGAAGACAAATATACTGACTGGAAAAAGTATGAAATTATTTTTGTCTTTAATAACTTTTTTATTATAATTGTTTGATTCAAGTGGTGTGGGATTTATGGATAACTTTAAATGTTGCTGCACTTTTGTGAGTCGTAATTTATATTTTCAGGTTTCTAGTTAAACAGTTGACAGGTGCCCGTACTTTACCTGCTAATTTCTACAGTAAACTAAATGATAGTCTTGTATCAAGATTTTCTATTGGTTCCGTTATGGAAGTGGTAGACAAAAATAGAATTTCTCAAGTTAAGGTAAGCTTAGTCATTTAAATGTAATTTTATGGGAAGGAAAACGATATGTAAAAAAAAATGAATGTAAAAAATGCGATATAAACTTCACAAATAATTTTTTCGCTTGCAGGTAGCTAGCGTTTCTGAGATAGTGGGTAAAAGGTTACATGTAAAGTACTATGACAGTTCCCCAGAGGACAATGGTTTTTGGTGTCATGAGGACTCACCATTGATTCATCCTGTGGGTTGGGCATTCCAAGTTGGTCACTCTCTAGACGCGCCGCAGGGATACTGTCAGAGGGTAGCCAGCGGCCGACTGTTGCCTAACGATACGACACCGGACATGTTCTATAAATACCCAACCAATGAACCACCTTTGTTCTCCGAAGGGATGAAGTTAGAAGCGATAGATCCCTTAAATTTATCCGCTATATGTGCCGCCACAGTTATGCAGATATTAAACGAAGGATACATGATGATAAGAATTGATTACTACCCCGCGGATGCGTCAGGGGCCGACTGGTTCTGCTATCATCAAAGATCACCCTGTATATTCCCAGTTGGGTTTGCATTGGCGAACAATATCCCTCTTGTGCCACCTGCGGGGTAAGTTTACAGATTTTTATTTGCTCTCTTTATATTAGTTTTTCAATCACTCAAATCATTTATATCCAAAAAATAAATGAAATAAATGATATTTAAAGGACTATTGATATTTCCAAGTCAGGGAATAAAAATATTTTGAAGTTTGTGTTATGGGTAGTGTGTGTTAAGTTTCAGCATAGAAGAGTTCAGTTGGGAGTCGTACCTGCGCGATGGGGGCGCGGTGCCGGCGGGTCGAGCGGCGTTCGCGGCGCGCGGGCACGTGGTGTCGCACGGCTTCGTGGCCGGCATGCGTCTCGAGTGTGCGGACCTCATGGACCCGCGTCTCGTCTGTGTCGCCACAGTCGCTAGAGTCGTCGCTGATTTGCTCAAGGTGATACAATTTAACCATTATATTATTTGCTGAAGAAACAATCACAAAACAAGCTATCTAATAGCTTACTTTTTTATGTTATTTTTCATGTATGTAATTAAATTGGGCTTTATAATTTTGAATATGGTAAAAGTATAAAGTTTTGGGTTCCAGGTACATTTCGACGGTTGGGGGTCCGAGTACGACCAGTGGCTGTGGGCGCACAGTACGGACGTGTACCCCGTGGGCTGGTGCCGCGCCGTGGGACACCGGCTAGAGGGGCCGCTGCAGGCCACGCGTCGCCCCGCGCCCCGTCCCGCACGGGCACCGAGACAGCCCCGCACCTACAGGCTGAACAGGCGACGACGAAAGCAAGGTATGTGGGGATTATTTTTTCATTCACTTAGCAACTGAGTGTTGTTAGTAATATTTAATATAAGTATTATTACGATTTACAGTAACGAAAGGTACCCCACACCCTCCAAATACGACGGAGGATAGTTCTCAAAATTCGGACATGGGTGAAACGAAGGTTGTATCGCCGCCCACCAGTGCGTCGGAAGTGTCCGCGGATACGGAGCCCCGACAAGAAGGCAGTGCGCCTGGCGCTGAAGGAGTCTGTAAGATGGAAGTCGATGCTGAAGAGTTAAAGGATGCCCAAGAAGAGCATAGTGATAGAAGCAGACAAAGTGAAGCAACCATGGATACAATGGTAAGATTATGTTTTATGTAACATTATTTTATCTTTCGAAGTTTACGTTGCGAAAATGGTTTAAGAACTTTGTCATAGAGAGCCTAATTTTTTTGATATAGAGTTGCACTGTAAGTGACATGGTTAACTTTTTAATTAGTATGTGGTATAATGCTAATTGTTAAACTACTTTAATTATACTCTGTTCTGTTTCATACAAAAATGAGTATTATTTTCAGTGTACGCCAACAGAAGTATCTCAGGATTCGAGTCAGAACACGGGTTCGGACGAAACACCAACGGATGAGGCGGAAGAGAAAGTGATACCTAGACTAGTCAACAACACGATGTCATTGGATATTCTCAATTCAATAGAACCGGAGAACTGGACGCAGGCGGATGTGGCAAAATTCCTTACAGTTAACGACTGCCACACATACTGTGTTAACTTTGCTCACATCGACGGATCAATGATGCTGCAGCTATCTAAAGATGAAATCATCGAACTACTGGAAATGAAGGTTGGTCCTTCGCTAAAAATATTTGACTTAATACAACAGTTGAAGTGCAAAATTAAACAACCTCAGTCTCGAATCTCTAATTTCAAATAGTTTCAATAAATTCCAAAAGGATTTTTAGCACCATTGAGTTTGTGCTTAGTCCAGCTAGTTTTAACATCATAATGCAACAGACTGAAATGATGTACTTTTTGTCACTTTACTATGAGTAAGGAATTCAAAATCATATCCTATATTTATAGAAAGTGTGCATCTCTAAGTTACTATTATTTTTATAAGATAAGGCAAGACCTTTATTACAATTTAAAACAATTTGCTGCTATTCTTTACAAAACATTGAACATTTATAAGAAAAGCTGCTTTTATTGTATGACGTAAAATGAATGTAATGTCCATTTAGCTACATTTGACATCTTGTACTAAAATAATTTTGTTTTGGTTAAAACATCATTTACTCTGATAATTATTGTACATAAATGTAAATGTTTGGTATTCATTTTAATGATAGCAAATAAAAAGGTTTTCTTAATCTAAGAGAATTGTAGTCATTAAATTATAACAATCAAGCTTATTCTGCTGCCCAAAATAAACAAAACTTTAAATCATAAAATAAACCTTGTTATAAAGGTTTCCAAATATCTTGGCGGATCAAAGCATCCACTAAATTACTATGCAGAAAAATATTTTAGTTGATAGTAGTACAGGGATGCGGGGAATGCATCAGGCAGCTTGCAAGTCACTTTGACCCACCAAGATATTGGAAAAGACAAAGTGCGAGTCGTAGTATTTATTAAATACTTAATTGTTAAAACCATCGGAGAATAAAATATTTAAAATATATAAACATAGTAAATAGATTACCCAAATGTGGCCTTAGATATACTTAAAATATCTTTTGTGTCCTGTAATTTGAGTTAAATTGTCATAGCTAAATCTTAGAATAATGAATGTATGGAAATTTGCTGTAACACCTCATTGCCTTTACAAATAGTAAGTTATATACTAATAGTAATTTGGTACGGCATGTTTTGTATTCATTTTAAAAGTAAAACGGTTTAATTGGCTGTATATTTTTGTATGGTGCCGTGAATATGTCATTCATGTAATTTTAATAATCGGGAAACAAGTTTAAAATATATTTAGAAATATGGGTGGAATTATATTATTATTTCAAATTAAAGGAATGAACAATGAATTCTTTAAATAAGATTGTGTTTTACCTAAGCTCTTTTATTTTATACAATATTTTTATATGTAATTGTAGTTTTCATTTCGTATCACAAGATGTAGTGACATGAATTTGTTCTGAAGTTTCATTTTTTAAATGTGTGATGATAAAAATATTATGTTTGCAGTGATTTAAAGCCAATGTATGTGAAGATTTAAAAAGCAATAAGTAGTTGTCGAGTGTTTATATCTATTATGGTGCATTGTGAAAATAATATTTTAAATTTGTAAATTCGACAATTTAAAAATGAAAAGATTTTCAATGTGTTGTGAAATTTTCTTTGTATGTCAGATAAATTAAATGAATTTTTATACCTTTATTACATCACTATGTTTTAATATACATGCATGAAACATTTAAACTGTAAATTATTATTTATTCATAGTAAATCAAATTAAACATGCTGAATAACATGCAAATAATATAACCAATTTTATATTTTAATGGTACGTTTTTTTTAAACTAATGTAGAAGCAGTTTATTGTACAATCTGAATCATTGTGAATTATTTTACATCATTTTATTTGTAAAAATAAATCATGTAATGAATTTATTTGAAACAAAATCAATATTCTAAATGCATGTATTTATAATAATTGAGCTATAAAGGTTGCTGCCATAATGTATTTTTAACACGAGTGAAGATTTTATGATTTAGAATACCTTGGATGAAGCATGTACAACACTATAATGCAATATATTTAATATGCATCACAATTACAGTTATTCATTTATGGTTATTGAATAAATTAATGGAAGTGATTCAAATAGGCCTTTTTTGTATTTATTTTGGTAATGAGGCCTATATAGTGGACTTATGTCCCGATCTGGGTTAAGCCAGCACATTGTGTTTGTGTTTGAAGATGCAAATAAAACAATTTTAAATTATTTCTGTTTTATTTTTTATTATATATATGATTTATAATGGACGGATTATGCAATACAACTTGCAGAAGCATTTTATTCTTATCAACATTAACAAATTAAAATATAGCAAACATTTTATTGTTTAATCGGGTAATTAGATTTTCTTACCAATGTATATCTTTGTTCGTAAGAAATTCTTGTAACATTTGACTGGTTAATAATCTGAAGGAAAAAAGATTGATGAATCATAGATTAAATTTATCTTCAAATAAACAGATAATTTACTATTCCATTTCTAAGCATTCCATAAGAATAATATTTCTTAACAGCTCACCTCATAGTGTGCGTTGGTATCGTGGGAGCGTAAAGTACACAACATAAAAGATTAGCCGATCTTTGAGCATGGCATTTGTGGTACTCTGAACTCCAATATGTTTCGGTTATCTTTCCCACAGATTCGTCGCTGTCTGAAAAATATGAACTATAACATTCCAAAGCAAAATATCTGTTCAAAGCCATATGTTAACAAAGAAAATTAGAGAATGAATATGTTGATATCCTTTTTCATATTGAAAATGCTTAAAATTTCCTAATTAAATACATTGAAGTATTGACATATTAATAATGCTCAAATAAAAATTAAATACCTTTATCTAAAATTTCTCTAAAGTTCAACTCCGGTGCCAAGTCCCTCGCTGAAGTAACGTAGAATGTTCGCAAAATATCTATGCGATGAGACCCTGACATTCCACGACCTTTTTGATTTGATAATTGTAGATGCCGGGAAAATACACACCTTCTTCGATTTATGTTAATTAGAAAAATGCTAAAATAAAATGTAAACAACAAAGAGTAATAATAACCAAGCATCTTGGACGATCTCTTTTCCTTAATTCTAATATTGTAGCCTTCAATATAAGAATTAAGGAAGAGATATCAATACAATTCTTTAAAAAACAACTTTAAATATAAGTTATAAGACTACAATACATACCCTAAAACACATGGTTCGAAAGTAATACTGGCTGGAAAGTTTCGTGGATGAACAAGCTTAGCTTCCTTTATAATCTGTGCATACCCTTCCCAGCACTGTAGCACAATCTCATCTATTTGGGACAATGCAGGAGTCGCACCACAGACCACAAGCACATATACGTCAGCTAACAATTTGCATGTTACTGCTCTAAATGCTACCTGAAATAATTTATTGCTTATATGTTACATAATAGTAGTTTAGCAGTCATATGCAAAGATATCAATTCTCTGTCAACGGGAGTTGTAACTTTTTGGAATGAGTTGCTATGTTATTGATATATCATTTCAAAAATACATAACTATAAACCATTTTAAGACTTAAAGATACAAACACTTAAAAATACAGAATCAATACATAAGAAATAAATGCATTATAGTAGTATAATTTTTAATGCTTACTTCAGGACTCATATATGGTAAGTATATCAATGTGTCTCGCAGTGGTGCCCCGTCTTGAGCTGCAGCCAATAGGAGCAGCAATCTTGATTCCCTCGGGTCTAATTCATAGAAATCAGAGCTTGTTGCTACTAAATGCCCATGTATACTGAGACAAGCCCATCTACCAGTAACTCGTTCTGCATAGTTGTCTAAAACTTGCTAAAATAAACATTAAAATGTACAGAAATTATAAATTAATAAAATTATTATTATTAAAAAAAGCAAAAGCAAGAACATAATACCTGTAGGTGCTGTGGTTGTGGACACAAAATGCTCTGTGTAAGGTCTAACACTAAAGTCATAGATGGCACAGAATTGGGGTCTAATGATTCTAACAAATAATCTAATATTGGATAACATTGTCTTAGATCCCTTTTTAATTGATCAATGTTCTTTAGATTTTCCAATTCTTTTTTTCCAACACAGAATACCATAACATCATGTATACAAGCAAGTAGGAGTTCTAGGTCACATTCCAGTCCTCCTGTTACTATACCTATGAGTGTCACACTAAAATTAAATAATTGTAAGTAAAGGATAACTTAAGTCCATTTACATTTCATAGTTCAATTATGAAAGGTTAAACAAGTTTTAACTAAGAAAATTATTGCGCTCAAAGAAGTATGTAAATATTATGTACCTTTTATAATATTCCTTCCAAAGTATACTACCATTTTCAACTTGTGAATTAATTACAGATAAGTTGTGGCATTTACTGAACATGTTTATGCCGTGGAGTGAAGCAATTGTCGAAAATTGTATCTAAACAAAAAAAATTAAAAAAAATTTATACAAAGTTCATTTAACATATCAACATTTAGAACATACAAATAAGTAATACAAACATTTTCATTGTTGCCGCGCTTTCTAGTAAATATTGGAACGCCACTTTCCGTTGCTACAGCTATTACAATTGCAGACATTTCAATTCAATTGTTTTTATTTATCAGACTTCTATAATTACAATGTTACCGCTATTTTAGAATATATAGGTACAATACATTAACCATTGAAAGGATTCCAATGTCAAAATGAACAACCACAATCCATCTAAATTAATAACATTATTCTAGTGTATTTTATAGCCATTATGTTGTGTTTAGTTCGATTTTAAACAATAGTTTTGTTTTGGCCTCCTTTAACTTTGTTTACTTTTCTGACACTTTTGTTTTTACACAAAAACCAACCAAATGTCAAAAAATATTTTCTGCTGCGAATTCAAGTATTTTGGAAAATAAATTATCGAATGTTCTGTCTTTTTAAGTATATTTTTATTTCGCGGGAATTTTGTAACAATTTTAACATACATATAAAACTTATGAAATAACAATACCAATGTAGATTACATTACATTACATACACAGTTAAGCTGAGCTGTAAAATGTACACTGGTATCACATTTTAGATCAGTTAATATCCAAAATATATAAAATTATCAATTCATTATAATATTAAGTACGTTAGTGCAAGTGGTACGTTTTCTTAACCACATTTTCTTGACGTTTATTAGTCTCACAATGGCGTTATTGCGGCAGGTCTCGCACTTTCTACATTTCCGTCATTACGCTCAAGAGCTTTTGATTCGGCTGAATTAAAAAGAAGAAAAATTAGTTTTTATTTAGCTTAATTGAATGAAGGGAAAGAAGACAATTTCGACTCACGTTCTCGACTTAATAGTTTCGGTCCAGTTATAGCAATAAGTATCGCGCCTAATGGTGCAGACAAAACTACGCTAAGAACACTCATAGCAAGAATTGTTTTAGCGTATTTCTCTTCATCAATAGGCGACAATCCAGAAGTTTGCCTATTTCTTACTAAATCCAACGCTGCCGGACCCAAGGCTGCCTAAAAACAAAGAATAAAATTATAATGCTATAACGCTTATGCACGCCCATCATTTTTTTGTGTATTTCAATCCATAGTATAGTAAAATGCTTACAATAAAAGTGACGACCAATATTGTTAAATTCTATTAATCATGACAGTTTTAAAATTGTAAAATTTAAGTTACGAATATGTAATTAACTACATACCTGGACCGTGGCTTTTGCTAACCACGTAACTCCAATAAATAGCTTCTCTCTCTTGTTCAGTCCACACCCAAAACTAACCAGAAAAGTGGCAATCATACGTAGTATTAAGCATGACACTAAGCAAATTGCACCCATTTTTATAACTTCAGGATCTAACGAGCTAATCTGTAAGAATATATTAAATAACATAAAAAAATTCAATATTACCTACCAGCTTTTTTGATTAAAAATTAACTTATTTACCGTAATTTGTGCTCCTGTAAATGCAAAAAGTATTGGCTCGAAGAATATCCATAAGATTCTGAAGATATTACTGACAGGGTTCTTATTTACAACCCATCCTTGCCTTTCCCAAAAAAATGCTGCTACAAATCCCGAAGACACGATTGCCAAAGGGCCTGTATATAAAAATATATTTTTACGTACATAAATATTTATTTAATTAAATAATTAAAAATAATTATGTTATATTATACCTGCACCACTCCATCCAATTAAATTAGATATAAATAGTGAGAATAAGCCTCCCAAAAATAAAATCAAAAATCGCAACGGCACCACATATGTATCTCCTTTCTCTGGAATAACTGAAGCTATAGTCCCCCAAAGAGATCCAAGTCCTATGCCCGCTAAAATTGATAATGGTCCCTGAAAAATAATTATTTTATATATTCTGCTTCTGTACAAAAGGTGACAAAATATGTCTCAATATTTGACGACGTTAGATTTTTAAGGTGTACTTTTTGAAAGTTTTCTTTTTAAAATAAAATTGACGATATACAAACCACGATAATATTGTAAGTAACCGAGCCCGTTGAGAACATAGCGTTCAATATAATAGCGAACACGGCCACACTTATTGAATCGTCGATCGCTGCGGCGGCGAGCAACAGTGTGGGTATGCCCTTAGCGACCCCATAGCCGGAGTCGCGAAGACGAAACAGACACGGCACTACTACGGCCGGTGATACTGACGCTATCATAGATCCTAGTAAAAAACCTGCAAACAGCTAACATTAATATACCTAGTATGTAAATGCGGCCTAAAATGTTACTAAGTGTCATAATTAAACCAATAATATGTCACTTTTAGAAATAAAACATGAAAGAAAAAGAATTTCTCCTCACTCTTCGAAGTCTTAGTCAAGTCAGTTTTACTCTGTAACAAGTGTCACTTATGTAGGTGAGCTTTTTTAGTCTAGTTTAATGGTAAAAATCCTCACCCCATATCCATGGCAGTGATAGAAAGAAATGCGATGACACGCATATAGCGACGCATTCAACTATCCACGGCAACAGGCCCAGCTGCAGTACCGCGGTGTAATGCTTCTTTAAAACCTTTGCGTCGAGTCCCAAGCCCGCTCTCATTAGTATAATAACTAGCGCTACTTTTCTAAAATTAAATAGAATAAAAAAAAAAACCTTGCAATAAATCGCCACTCTTGTCAAACAACGTGAGCACTAACTAAATTCTATTTTATGATATTACTCGTTGTTTCTGAGACCAAAATGCCTGTATAATACATATCGACATCTCGCATTATTTTTGACAAAACAGAGATAATATAAGTAATAAGTAAGTAAATTATGTTCAAAAACTTTGTAAAAACAGTGGACAAATAAAATCTTTGTGTAAAGGTTAGAAAATTATCTTTTAACTGTTATGTTTGAATCATTAATCAAAATATTTAATTTGCTTTAGCAAAAAAATATACGATCTGTTGTAATTTTCGAACTCAACACTACAATACGACACAAGATGACGTCTTACCTCAGATCTTGATTAAGTTTCCTATATTTATCCGTCATGTGCACTAAGTGGAGGTTTTGGAACAGTATGCCGGTGAGCAGCATGGCAATGAGCGCAGGTAATGTGGTCACCTTCAACCACAACCAGCCCATTAAGTACGCGGCAATGACTAGGATAGTCATGCTAAACAGTTCTCCATCTAGAGTTACTGCTTCTCCAATTTCTACGTACGCGATACCCCATACAAGTAAGACTGAAACGATACACTATTTTAAATATCTCACAAAAAAAAATCGGAAAATTTACACAGTGGGTAGTAACAAGTACCTACTTCTTACCACTAAATAAATGTTTCACTTTGCTTTTTTTAAGTATTCGAAAATTTTATGGATAGTGTGGTGACTAAAAACTGACAACGGACGACCCAAATTATAAGAAAAGGCGACCCATGAGATTAAGAAAAGTGTTTGAAAGGAGTCAAGTGTCAAGAAGTCAACTACGTTTCTCTGCTGTTAGAAGTTTTTTATGATGATTAAGTTCAATTAGTATCTGAAAATCCTTGGGTTTTTCAAAACTTTATAAGCAAATCGTTGCAAAACGAAAGTAAGTAATCGTTATTTAAATGAATATTTTATTACTTACAGAAAAGTAAAATACAGAGTTGTTGTGCTGATTGTCGGTACGTAGGGAAAAGTGGAAACGGAAATATCCTTTGCCACCATGACGGTCGCCAAGATGGGGTCGAGTCAGGTTGGTGGCATCGCAAACACAGTTTATGCCACCATCTGTAAATAATTAATGGATAAATAATAAGATATAAAATCTGAATTAGTGAAGTCCAAAATGTGTGTTAAGGGAAACAAAAGCTCTATTTATTGTCGGGCCTTTACGATGGGAAGTTAACACGGTTACGTGAAACAACACAGTCTCACAGAGAAAGACATTCGCAGCTTTGGCGCCCCTGTGAGTCCATCGCCCTGGGCGGTCTCCGCGTCCTGCTCTAACGCCGGCCCTGAATCCACAGGTTGGTATTATGATTATAACATTTTTGGTGTATATAAAAAATAATATTATATGAAATGTAAACTTACATAGAGTTTTGTTTTTCAGTATCATCTGTGAAGTAAATAATTTTAATTATTCATCAAATACGATATTAATCTTCACCAAACCTTTGTGCATATAAAACTAATGTAGTTATGCTATTATTACTAACATCCCGTGTATTAACCCAATAGAATAATTAAATTTCATCAATTATATAAGCAAATATTTATATACTTCAGGTTACACCTTATATAGATTAAAATGTTAAAATCAAAGATCAAAAACACAATGCATTTAGTTAGCAAATGAAGATATAATGGTTGTGGAATTACTTCTCTTAATAATAATCGAGACAAAAGCTGCAAGATATTTTTCCAATGAACGAAGACAACAGGTGAAGCTAAGCTAAAGCAAAGTGATTTTCAATTGGTTCTTGTTTGCGTTTTAATTTCTCACTTGTGAGGTGGAAACGACAATTTTAATTGGAAGAATAGCTTTTATAGGCTTACTTCAGCTCTTAGTTAAACATAAGTGCTACATAGAAACAGTTAGTAAATGAATGAAATGGAAAACGTAAATATCGGGACTGTTTGGTCGTGGGTAAACAGACTTAATACAGATATCGCGAGTAAAGCACGAGGAACTATGTTGAGGTAAGCCTTTGTTGCTTCAAGTCAAATACATACTGGTTATATTCAGTTCGTTTAACCTACGAGGTTACACGTTAATATAGTATGATTTTAAAATCAAACTTTCTATAAACGATTCGATCAGGTTAGATCTAAAGTAATATTTTAAGAAAGTATATCGCGCTTTGTCGCAATTAAAAGGCTAAGTAGTAGACCCAAGAAAGAAAATTTAAAGTATCTTCGGTATTGTAATAGTCCTATTTAATTGGTATATAGGTAATCATATACTAGTACATATATTGTATTAATCAGAGGTAGCAAGGCAAACAAAAAAACATGATTAGCGCATTAAGTTAATTAATTAAGTTAGTAGATGCACACAATAATGCAAGACAAAATATACCAGATAGGAGTAAGTTACGCATGCTTAAGATTCAATAAAAGTTATTTACCAACAAATGTGTAAACACGGACACCTAATGACATAAATAAAAATATTATTTTTTTACAATAATAGAATTAATAACGATTAAATAATAAATACACACCTGACTGTTCATAATTGTTATGTTCCATTTGTAAATCTAAAATACAAATGAGTTTCCTGAAAAACATATCGTATTAAAAAGAACGGATAAACTTTAGAATGTATATTTTCGTGGAAGGTTGAAAGTAGCGCCAGTGATGGAGAAATTTAGAAGCAAGAGTTTAGCGTGGTATAAACTTATGGGGAGAGATGATGATCACATTAATAAGAAAGTAATGATATTACTATGCTACAAAGGTAAAGAAAGATCGAAGAAAGTATGGATTGATTGTTTGAAAGAGGATATGCGTAAGAAGGGAGTGAATTTAGATATGACGGCTGATAGAGATATTTGAAAGAGTATTACACTCCGTACCGACTCTCCGTAGGACCAAAGGCAGGTTGAAGATAATTCATAGAACTTTTGGACTTAACTGTTTGGGCCGCGGTATTAACGCTTACTCCGATGCTGTTAATTTCAGAGTGTCGTAGATATCATAAACAAATATAGGTGTCACTATGTTTATGATTATAAAATTAAAATACTAATAAGGGTCATATATAAGAAATTTAAAATAAAGAAAATCCGTTACCTAAAATTCAGTTGTGTTACCAACCATTATTTCGTATTGTGGTTTCTTCATATAGGTACACATTGTTTTACGTGACATATATTTTTAATGGAAATTGACTATTACAATTTTTTTATCAATCTTAAAATTATCCGCAATAAAACGTTTTTAAACTTAAGCAAGCGCTAAAATACAGTTTAACGGAGTAATCCGTGAAAATTCCAGTAAACTTAGAATGTTAGAAGGTAGACCGAGGATACTTGGACTGAATTTATAGACTAGTATTTAAAAAAAAAACAGATGAATATTCCCCAATATAATTAACGTTGCAAACCTAACGTTGATACAAATGATAATGTTTTTTTTTTAATTTAGCTAATGTAATACCCAATTGGTTGGCCTTAAACAAAATATATTGGTAGGAACAAAAATATTTATAACGTAAATAATGAAAGAATTGAATTACCTTACTCCGCGTTATAAGATCTTGCATATGTTTTCTTTAAATAAGATAGCTTTAAATATATTTTTCATTAATGTTAAGTATAGAATATTAAGGAAAAAATGACGTAAAGTAAGGAAGACTGTTGCACGCGTACTGAATTAACGTTATTCGCAGCGTTAGAACTGTATAACACAACATAATGTTTTGAAATCGCGACTCATATAAGTCAAATGTCAACAAGATTGTGTTTTATTAAAATGAGTCGAGTAAACAGTAGTCAGTACAGTACATAGGTACTAACGCACTCGTGATTGTATGAGTCACATTAGTTCTATAAGTATTCCAATTTGTTATCTGTAATCTGTGTTTTTTTATTTATCTGTGGTTTACGCTTACAGCGATAGTAAATTATAATCTGTGGATGTTTTAGTTTTGCTCATTTGTTCAAAAGGTTCGAGTTGTAATTACACATTTTTGTAATGAATAGCAGTCCTCCGTACTATATAACATCAAAGAACGTAACTTGTGTTACAAAAAAAATTTCTGCAATGTGAGAATAAGCTAAATAATCTAACCTTATACCAGTGGTTGATTCTTGATATTATTTTCAGCTATATGTTTGATAGAAACGAAACCCTATTATAGCATTTTATACAATTTAAAAGTTAAATTAAAATTGTAATACTACGAAGAGAAACAAACGAATATAATAATCTGCTATTTACGGCACCAAGGTTAAATAAAATTTAACCATAAAGCCATGAGTTAGGACAACGTCTTTCTCCTAGATGTCGCTGTTACAAATCAAAAATTTGCTTTTTTTAAATACATCACTAATCTCAATCTGGTTATCATGTCCCAAATAAAACAAGAGGCGATGAGATTCTTATGTATGTACACTGGAAAGGTATTTCGATATAGCGATTTAAGGTCTCATCATACTTATTTTTTGGTTAAGATAAGCATCGAACCCTGGACCAGCTTAGTAACTATTAAGTTATTAAAACCCTAAGGCTATAAGTACAACTTACTGCATACTTTTCTACTATTTCAACTAAAAGGACAATGGAGGTCGAAAATATGGTGGATATGAATAGATTTACTTAGATTTTCATTCTTTCTTTCTTTTAATTACAGAAAGTGTATGTAGAGATATTCACATAAATACTCAAGAGTAAAATACCTGTTTTGGCGCTAAAAAGCTCTTATCCAAAGTAATTGACAATACGATTAAAATTCCACGTTTTAGGAACTTAGAAATAACCATCTTTGTTACATAGAAATAGTTCTATTTCAACAAATCATTAACCATGGCAATTTAACATCGGAGTTTTCGATGTGCACTGACACGGTAACCTTGTATCATGAATTTGGTATTCGTAAGTAAATTTGCGCCAACGGGCCAAAGCCGAGCACTTCTAGGTTACAAACGTGATCGTGTTTTAGGATGCTCAACGTGAAAGTTTCGTTAGAAAATAAATCTTATGGGCATTTTAATGATAAAAATTAGGTATATGATATTATATCTTAATATTTCGACAGTAAAAAAGAATGCAACAGTTAAAATGCGAGTTTTTGCAAAAATATTTTCTTAAAGTATAACATTGTTATATCACTACTGTACTGGCACAAATGTTTAAGATTTATACAAAAACGATGTCTTTATAAAAAAAAAACTATTCTATGGAAAGTCACAGCATAGTAATAATACTCTCTCTGCTAAACTGCTCTGGGTTACTTTGACTCCGTGAGAATATTACCAGTTACCATTTCGACGCTGTAGATGTGGCCGTACGCCTTTCCAATTTAAATGTTACAATGTTCTTTAAAATAAAATTAATTCGTCTTCTGTGATATTAAATTATTCGGAATGAAAGTACGAAAAAAATATTAGAGTAACTGTTTGGGATTAGTGAGTGGTAAATTGTGAAAATGTGTTTATTTAAAAGTAGTTTATATGTTTTAATATTTCTTTTGGCTTGTGCCGAAATTAGTAAGTATTTTACTTAAATTTAATAACGACTTAATAATTGTTTTTTTTTATTAATATTAAAAAATAAATTGAGTTAGTTCCTGTACTATCGCAATACAATTCTGATTTTCACAATTTTTTTCGACAATCCAATACGTAAAATATTAGTCCATCATTTATTATTATTTAAAAAAAAAACTATTTTTATTTATTAATTAATAGGTTGTTTCCCTGATTAAGAGAATAACAATATAATTTTGTAAAAAAAAATACTAAACGTATACAATTTTAAATCTTTGCGCCAACTTTGAAAGAGAAATGCATTAATTTGAATCACCTCATCCATATTACAAAAACAAATCAATGGCTTGGCGCTTAATGTATTTTTAAAAACGTTTCAAAAGAGAACGTTGATTTTTTTTGCGATAATCTTACAATGACTGCAAACTGATTAATCATTTTACATTGTATCGTATTATGTTGCTTAAACACACGATGTCTTGATTATCTTTTTTGATATAAAAATTAGAAACTTTCACTTGTTTTTATTTTTCATTGTGATGTCGTAAATGCGAACTTAATCTTGTTTTTCTTAATGTAATACAAAACAAAAGTGAGAAAAGTCATTGACCATGTTTCTCATCTTACTTGTCCTTGGCAGAGAAAGCTGGTATGGGGCTATCGTTATTTGTTACGTTAACGCTTATCTATATAATAAAAATTGGAGTGTCTGTATGTAATATCAAAAGAAAATCACCATATCACGTCAAATGATGTACTATTATTTTTTTTCTGTCTATCCGAAATTCCGCGTTTGTTCTGGAAAATATCCGAAAGAGCAGCATCGATTTTAACGGGTCTTTAACTGGAAGGTTGGTTATGTATGTGGGAGTAGTTTTTATTTTTTATTATTTAGTTAAGCGAAAATAAAGTTGCAGACAACCGATAATAATTATAAAGTATAAATAAACATAATATATTATTTAAACGCTTAAAAATAAATTCATAAAACAAATGAGATTCACATACGTAATTTAACAAAATATCTAATATTGTACCATACCAATGAATGTGAAACTCGCTGTACTAAAGTAAATTATGTATTTTATCAACTAATTTCACGTATGTTGACTTTTTCCGCAATTCGCTTTTTATCGCAACAGACATCTTAGGTTTCGTCGTCGTCTGTTAGGTCATATTGGGTTATACTCATATATCTAATATCTATCAGGTTATGATGAAAGTCGATATGTGTTTTAACTGATATGTTAATAGACAGTTAATTCTAACTGTTGGATATAAGTTAACTACCATGGTACCGTAGCCAAAAAAGCCACTTTGTTTGCAGGCACTGATGTAGAAGGCAGTTTGATGTCTATGATGGACTTCAGATATTGGCGATGTGTTATGAAGCGAGAGATGAAATGTCCGGATAGCGAAGTAAACTTCTTCCTATTTACACCGTAAGTTTTTAAATATAATACCATATTCTGTAAATAATTTTCAACTTCCAATTTTAAGATAGCAATTCGTACTCATAAAATATTTAACTATTGGAGTATGATAGTCACTTGTTTCCAAAATATATAATTTTAAAATGAAACCTGCATTCACAGCATATTTTAGCAATATAATCTTTAGTAATCAACCACTGATCTTATGGCCGGTGATGGTCTAACTAGGTTAGATTATATTTTTGTAAAATCTAGTTAGAAAATTATTAGTATACCATGTCAGGGAGCGGCCTTACAAGCAGTGGGTTCACGTCGGCCACCGGGACCTCAGGGACTATGGCTGGAAATTGGCCAGGAAGAATGTTTTCATCATTCACGGATTTAACGGAACACACGCTAAGACGCCCATATCATTCTTACGAGACGGTAAAGATATTTTTAATCGATATTTTACATAGCGGGGTACCTCTTTAATATTATGGAGTGCTTTCCAATCACACAGTGTAGGATTGAATTTCCTTTTTATACCCAAATTATTAATATTGTTAAAACTACAACAAAACATTACGTTTCGCATTAAATAAATAAAATTTTGTAAAATAGACGATTATACTCCATACTCTTTACTCAATATTAAAATTTATTTTTGCCAGATCTATCGTTATCGTACATTAAAAATAATAATTTGTATCAGACTTTTTTACACTTTAGAAAGTGTAGCAAATTGTATCTTCCGACATAACTGTACCGTTACTATTTTTTCGCGGTTACATATTGAGCCTCTCGACGTTTTCGTCTCTCAATAAGAACAAAACAGACCACTAATTTCATGTTATAAAACACCAAAAAGTTTACATATTTATTTTTATCAAACAACCATTAATATTTATAATTAAAAAATTTCAGCATACCTTTCTCGCAAAGACTACAATGTGTTTATGGTGGACTGGTCAATGCTGTCGAGGTTCCCATGCTATATGTCAGCGCTTTCGAACATGAGGTAAAGTTATTTCACGTCTCAAAATACGATACACATTCGAAGAAAAAAAAACTGTTAGAAGTCAACCAATCCGTACTAAGCCAGCTTAGTTGATATGGCCTATTCTAAATTATATTAAGATCCATTTGTTATAAAATGTATCATATTTTCTTTGTAGGTTAGCAGCACAATGTACTGCTCAACTATACTCATTGTTGACGCAAGCCGGGGCTTTAGCGAAGATGACGACGTGCGTAGGACATTCCCTGGGCGCCCACGTCTGCGGCATGATGTCGGAGCACCTCACACAAAAACAGTACAAAATTGTAGGCAAGTATTCTTCGATTGTTTTTTTTTAATAACCCAGATATAAGGCTTCTTATAACAAAACTGACCTCTATACTTGAATTTTAATTAATAATGTATAATGTATTGAGAAACAAAACAGATTTTAGTAAAATATATATTTTATTAAAATATAAGTTTTTAAAAGTACTAGCTTATAGTGATTAGTTGCCAAGGAGTTGTGATATTACAATTTTTTCCAAGTTTTGGATGGTTACTTTTTAGTAGCCAAATCCTAATTTTCCTACATCTCCAGTAAAGTAACACAAAGATTAATAATTTTATTGTTACTTAAAAATGCGATATTAACGATCTATGAGAAAATTTCAATAAAATATCTCGACGGGGCATAGAAATTTATAAAAGTGGTCTTTTTGGAAGACTCATAGTAATTGTCTTGACCTCCAAATAATTGTTTATGCCTTCTTCTCCCCTAGAAAATAAAAACAAAATGATTAACAAACATTATTAAATTTAGACAGAGTATTAAAATTATAACTTACAATTCTCTGCCCATGCCAGAATCTTTGAAACCTCCGAAAGGAGTTTGGCTTGTGACGTGGTCGTATATGTTTATCCTAAAATGAAGGTAAAAAATAAATTGAACAAATAAGCAACAGAATATTTAAAACCAGAAGAGTGCGAATCGCATGACACCTCACTTTTCAAAACATGTAGAACCGTTTAGTTTGTATATTTCTAAACTTTATCAAAGCTTAAATTATGTTCCGAATTTTTTTCTTATTTCGGAAACGAGTTTCTTACTCGTAGCTAGTAAAGATTTGCTATTAATTCGTTTTCACTGTCATAAGAGACTTGAATCAATTTATATACCGGTTTAAAATACAACTCTTACTTTTTTTCATCAGACTAGCTAAGCATAGTTATGTTAAAGAGTTTTTTATAGGTTGCGCAGTTTGTATAAGCACAAGGTATGTTTATAAACTTATCAATTTGGATGTCAGAAGAAATCAATAGGAATGTCAATAGTCATAGATATAGATTATTACTTACAAAGCAGCGAAAGGTTGTTAATTGTTATTGATAAATTAATTTAAGGATTCTTTACCAAACGGAGCCGGCGCGCACGTGGCGGGCGAAGGCCATGGCAGTTGTAATGTCGTTGGTGATGACGCCGGCGCCGAGCCCATAGTTGGTGTCGTTGGCGCGGTCCACTGCCTCGTCAAACGTCTCGAACTTGAAAATGCTTTGCACTGGACCGAATATCTAGAGCGTAATAAGTTTCATTGTCATTTCATTTAATAGATAAACGATCACGCAAACACATGATTATCCAATAAATGAAGCGAGAAAAGGTGCCGCTGTGCTGTCCTTATACTTCGTCTAGTCCTGGACATCTTTTTCGCTGATTTCTAGAAGTCAATTAAGAATACAACTTAATATGTTAAGTTCTCTTACTTCTTCCCTAGCAATCTTCATGTCGTCCTGCACGTCAGCGAAGACCGTAGGCTGTACGTAGTAGCCGATGTCAGCGGCCCTGTCCCCGCCGGCGACGCAGCGCGCGCCGCTCTCCTTACCCGCCTTTATGTAGTCTAGTACCTTCGTGTACATTTCCTTATCGATCTGTACAAACAATAAGTACCATTATTTTATCAATCATTCCTCCGATATAAAAGCACTCGATACTTATAAACAGTCGTCTCGTATTATTTTCTGACCTGTGGTCCTTGCTGCACATCATCGAAGGGGTTGCCAACAGACCTCTTCTTGGCAATTTCTGCGGCCTTGGAAACGAACTGGTCGTAGATGCCGGCCTGCACGTAGGTGCGCGTGCCGGCGCAGCAGCACTGACCCGCGTTCTCAAACGCCGTTGCGTGCGCTATTTGCGCAGCCTTCTCCACTAAAATCAATTTAAATGGTATCAGTGTTTACTTTATTTATTAATAAATATCATCTAAGACTACAAATATCCACAGTACGCGGATGGAACGCCCTGAATATCGTGTCCTAACTTGATAATTATTCTTTGTTGACCATTTCTAACCTATAATACCTTGTCAAAAGATGTGTTACATCGTACGTTATTATTATTACTGCATATTTATCATGCCTGCGTACTTACCATCAGCATCGTTGAACACAACCAGTGGGCTCTTGCCGCCGAGTTCTAAGGTCACTCGCTTTAAGTTTGCAACCGAAGCAGCTCCCATTATCATTCTACCTACCTAAGATCATAAAATAATTAAATATTAAAAAAACTAAGATTAAGGAGTAAATCATAAAGTGTGAGTGAATAGAAAAGATTGAACTATTTCTACCGGGAATCCTGTATTGCAATTTTTTGCATACCTCAGTGGAGCCAGTAAAGGCAACTTTATCAACGTCGGGATGATGCGTTATCGCCGCACCAGCTGTGGGCCCGTATCCTGGCAGCACATTCACAACTCCTGGCGGAAAACCAGCTTCCTTGATCAACGCTGCCACTGCTAGAGCGGTGAGGGGCGTTTGTTCTGCTGGTTTTAACACTATAGTACAACCTGTAAGGGAATATTTCAGTTTTTAGGTAAACATATACTGTAATGTCAAATGTATGATTACCCTTTAAAGGTTCTTCCGAAATCGGATGGAAAATCTTACATGAAATGAGTATTTTATGTATGGCGATTATTTATATAGATTCTTTAGTATTCCTAATAAGATTTCACAGTTAAATAACGAACATACCTGCGGCTAGGGCTGGGGATATTTTCCACGACATCATAGGTATAGGATAGTTCCATGGTATGATCTGTCCGCACACGCCAACTGGTTCCTTGAGGGTCATTGATAGCACTTCGCCATCTGTAATTAAAAGGTGTTTTTAGTTTTATTCCACTTTCCTAAACCCGTCGACCAAAAGTTGGTGTAAGCTTAATCATTACAAGTGGTAAGTTACGTTTTAACCAGCAGGTATTTAAAATAATTATATTTTAGAATTCTTCCTTACAAATAGTACGGAATCACTAGTGTTTTCTAAATAATACATGTTTATGATTGGTCACAATCATATCATTAATTAATGTAATAACAATACTGAGAAATAATGAAACACTATTTTCCTAAATGATGATTTAATGATTTCACGCCATCAATAGAATGAAGTTACGTGATTATTGTGTTTGCATACTGCACGATACATAATAATACGTACATATATAGTGTTATCACGCTAAATTATTCTGGAGATAGCATGATTTGTTATTACTTATATAATTGTGCGATAAGAAAACTTGTTGTTTTAGAATACATTGTTAAAAACACATAGCTTTGTACTATGTTATATCCTTTAACCATATTAAGAACATTTACAAATGAGTATTTTAATATAATAGTGAAGTTTCTTTGTTATCCCAACCTTTTTACATACACGATTATTGATAGAATTAATTAAACAACATATATCGTAAAACAAATATTAAAACGAATATTAGAAAGACACTATACCTGCCGGAATTGTGTTTCCTAAAATCTTATCAGCTTTCCCTGCGTAGTATCTGAGTACGCTGGCCGCGAAGTATACTTCGCCTTCTGCCACTTTCACGGGCTTCCCGCAATCCAGTGTTTCGAGCTCCGCCAAGTATCTCGCTTGCGACTCCATTAGATCGGCAAGTTTTAACATAAGAATTCCTCGCTGCGACGCGTCCATGGTACGCCATTCTGAATATCGGTGGAACGCTTTTTTAGCTGCCGCTACCGCTAAATCGACGTCAGCCTGCGTTTATATTGAAAACTGTGTAAATGTTATATTCATTAGTTAGAAGACAGTGTCTGATTGTATGATCATAGTAGATTTAGAGACATCTACTACGCATTACTAATATTGTCCTAAGTTTTTTTTTGTTATATTTTTAACAGGGATGAACACCTTTTAAGTTTTTTCGCTTGAAGAACTACAAAGCAATTAGGACTCAAAGTGGGGCTTAAAACTGAGTAATTTCTGCACATCCATACCAAAAAGGTATAATCTTTGTAACTTTTAACTTTCATGGCATAAGTTTTCACAATTCCGTAAGAAATAGGAGAATAAGAATACCTTAAATCAGGCCTAAACAAATCAAATACTTAGGATTTTAGAGAGTGTTATTTGCGTTAACGATTTATAGAATTATTTATTGCTAGTGTTATTATGATGATGAAGTGTGTATCTAGTAACTCGTGTTAAATTTAAAGGCGCACGATGGATACTAATAATGCAAATAGGCATGATCTTATTCTAAAGTTTCTTAAAGCGAACGACAGTATTGGGCTGTTGAGAAGTTGGCGTTGAATTGGATAAATATTGACATTAGTAGTGATAGCCTGCAGGGTCGCCGATGAAACTTTTTAATTTATCGCACTAATAATTCTGCCGACGGCAAATTCCACGTGTAATAATATTAAATTCGATAGATAAATTGCCACATTATTTCGAAGAGTAAGGTTAGCCGATGTATAAACAAGTGCGAATGCTATAATCTGAGAAGTGAAAATAATGGTGCTTCCATTTCTTAGTGAATATTTTGTTACTAGTACACCACACCTATTTAATCTTTCTTCATGATCGTAGGAGTTAATTGCATATTTGTATTGTGTGAGCTTTTTGTTATTTTAGTATGTCTAAAAATTTGTAAATAAACGTAAATTTATATTTTGTACCAAAAAAAAATCTGTACCTACCTTATCGGCTTCAGCGACTTGAATGATGACGGTTTCATTTTGAGGGTTTATTGTTGGGAATGTCTTCTTACTTACGGCGTCCACCCACTCATTGTTGATAAACAACTGAAGGATGACAAACGTTAGATAAGATAGATTTTAAAACCAAACATCAAGATAAGATATAATAAAAGTGAATTTTAAGTGCAGTGTAAAATCTTTTATTCACATTGATATTTTATATGTAAGAGATGTACTAAATAAAGACGAAAATTGCTTCAAACGTTTTAATGTGTAGGTATATTACAAAACCTTATGCTCACAGGCCAATTTAAGACAAATATTTGCGTAATGATCTTAAAAGATTTCGAATAAAGAAAATCATACGGTTTTATTTCTTAAACATAAAGATGCAGTTCCTAAAAGCAAGTATATGTAGGTGATATGAATTCAATGCGTTAACAATATAACATACACTTGACTGTAGAGAGTAGGTAAGTACGTATATCCCGTATTTTCAATGAATACTATTAAACAAATCGCTTATCGCTTATTTGGCAATTATTAAGAACTATTTTTGTTGATCACAGAACACGTCTAACAACTTTTAAAAGAACATGATAATAATAATCTAATATTTTTCTACAGCGATGTGGGTAAATAGATAGAAAATTGCATCAAAATGTGTTTCATAAATTATTTTCACATAATTCATATAGAAAACGGTCCATAAAGCCTCTTCCAATATCTACTTTATTTGGTCATTGCTATCACGTAGATTGTGCTTATACTTTTCGGTAATTTATTTGCCAATTTTTACAGCAACACTAACAAATACACTTATTTTATATATCAAACTGTTTGTGTTTAGCAAATATAATAAGATTCACGTACCTTAGTGTACTTTACGTCCACTTTAACCATATTTGAAATAAATCTAAAAATTTTGTAACAATAACTATAGCAACTGTTGTTATAACAACACCGGCCGGCAGACTAGTGAAATCTGAGTCTGACACATTTTGAAGATAACTAAATATACCGTGTTGCGCATCGGTACGCGCAAGTTGCCATATGTAACGAAATTTACCGTAATTGTGGCTAAAAATATGATTTTATTGGCATTATAATTTTTTTCTTTTAATACTTTTTGTTTATAATTTAAGTTTTTGTATTTATTAATTGCATAATCTTCTATACGTATTAATAAAATTGGAGTATCTGTATGTAATGTCGAAAAAAATCATATTTCGAACACATGATCTGTGGTAAGGTAATCAACGGAACGGAAAATATCTGATGCAGGCGGGCTAATATAAGCTTAATTTTTGTTATGTAATGTTCTGAGCTGTCGAAGTCGTGAGCTATCGCTAGCTAATATATAAAATTCATACGTTTAAATACTAATAATTAAGATGTTTCAGTTGAAGATATGGTAGGATGGAAGGTATGTTTATTAGGATATGAGAAAAAAAACCACTGTATTTGGTTAAAAAGTAAAATATATTTGAATCAAAACAAAAAGTTTATTCAATAAAATAACATCATATTGTGATTTTACAAGAAAGGTTTCTTAGGCACGTTCATAGTAACAGTCTTGTTCTCCAAGTATTGCAGAATGCCATCCTCACCCCTGAAAGCATTACAATATTCACGGTTAGCGATACTTATCCAGTTATGACATTTCTAAATGCCTTTGATGTAACTCAGGTCATAATCTTTGATGTATTTTTCGGTTAACATTTTATCGAATAAAATATAATTTAAGACAAGATAAATATTGTTTTAACATTTTTACGTTTAGAACACTATAAAGGGTTTTATTAAGTAAAGGTTTAAGTTTTAAAGACAAAGGCGGTGAAGTTTAATAAAGGATAGATCTGCTTATTACATATTACATAGTGTGCAAAATAGCATTTTTTGTCCTATTAGGTTTTTAAAATAAACTTACAGTTCACGGCCAATGCCAGATTCTCTGAATCCACCGAAGGGAGTTTGCGGCGCCACGTGTTCATATGTGTTTATCCTGGAAGGAAAATTTAAACAATGTTATATTTAATAATCTTTAGAGTTACACGTTTTTGGAGTTCTTTTGGTATAGTAAATGCCTGAAAATATCGTCGTCAGTGACCACCTTAACATTAAGGATTCTGTTCCTCGTTTACCCTCTTACTTATCGCTATAGATTCCTCATCTCACTTAAGGTCATAAGTTGCAAATCAAGTGTTTTGAGTTACAACATGGGTGACTTTCGGAAGAACTTAGTCACTGGTAACCCTGAAAACTTCTAGGCGATCCTCGCTCCCGTCAAAAAACTGTCATAAGATCCTTGTAGGATTATAGCTATGCTTACCGCATTGAAAATAATAGAGTTAACGTTTTAACTGTGTAATACTTACCAAACACTACCAGCACGAACATGTTTAGCGAAGGCCATGGCTGTGGTGAAGTCTTTTGTGATCACACCAGCTCCAAGTCCGTAGTTGGAGTCATTGGCACGGTCCACCACCTCTTCAAATGTCTCGAACTTCAGGATGCTCTGAACTGGACCGAAGATCTAGCGAACATAAAATTACTTACGTTTTTAACTCCTCAAAAGCCTTACTAGGTTCCCAAGCGGTATTGTCGGAAATTGCAAGCCATTTTTTTTTTACTTTTTACAGTTTCTTTTAAAGATTAACACAATGCCAATAGAGACGCTACAAACAAGGAGCATTTAACCTTGCAGTGTAATGTTCTGAATCCGCTCACTTACTTCTTCCCTGGCAATCTTCATGTCGTCCTTAACGTCAGCAAAAACAGTGGGTTCGATGAAGAACCCGACGTTCCCTTGCCGGTTGCCTCCCGCGATGCACCGGGCACCGCATTTCTTGCCCACTTCAATGTAGCCCATTACTTTGTTAAACATGTCCGAGTCGATCTAATGCAGACATGATTAGAATTAATACATAGTTATTATTATAGTTCCTAAATTATAAAAGAAAAATAAATTAAAATCATTAAATACGTAAGTAACTTTAGATTTAATATGTATAAAATCAAATAGGTAAGACAAAATTTATGTAATGTTAATTTTTAACAAACGACCATATTCATGCAAATGGTATCACGTAAGCGTATATATGTTAGCAAGTGAACTACACATCTTCGATTTCAACTGACAGTTCGTGGCGTATTTTGAATACAAAATATGCATACTGTAGGATTCTTTAATTATTTTAATGTATAGTTACTTGTGGTCCTTGCTGCACGTCTTCGTACGGGTTGCCGACAGTTCTGTTCTTTGCTATCTCCGCTGCTTTTGCAATGAACTTATCGTAGATGCCAGACTGTACGTAAGTCCTCGTACCCGCAACACAGCATTGTCCGGCGTTAGCAAACGCTGCGCGGTGGGCAATTTGAGCAGCAGTCTCCACTGTTGTATAATAATAATTAATAATTAACTTAATTATTATTTTAATATTTTTAATTTACATTTGAATTCAGATTGTTGAGTGTACCAACCGTCAGCGTCGTTGAAAACGACTAAAGGACTCTTTCCACCGAGCTCAAGAGTTATTCTCTTCAAATTTGTTGCTGCAGCATTATTCATTATGATGCGTCCGACCTTTAAAAATGAAACAATGTTTATAATAGTTTCTTATCTTTATATTTTTCTTAAATTGTGTACTATATTATTTCATATGTGCGCTTACACGATTATATTAATCGTCACTGTACACTAAATACGAATATTACAACTGTAAAGAATGTACTGTAACTATTGAATATCGCGTTACGATTTTTACCGTGGTATTCATCATAATAACACGTGTCCGAGTTATATGGTTTTCCTTTGTGTTTTCAAAGAGAATAAGAGAGATGACGATATGTTTTACGTATTATTATGCAATGAAATTTATGGTTACGAGCTGATGACCAAGGACGACGTTGGTAAATCGGTAGAACAAGGCGTATAAATTTAACAACATACTACTGTTGCTATGAGTCATACCTCAGTAGACCCCGTAAAGGCAATTTTGTCAACACGAGGGTGGTTCGTTAAAGCAGCCCCAGCGGTGGGTCCGTACCCAGGGATGACGTTGACGACGCCGGGGGGGAAGCCCACTTCTTTGATGAGTGCCGCCACGGCTAGAGCCGTGAGTGGTGTTTGCTCAGCTGGCTTCACAATCACCGTGCAACCTTTAACAAAAACAAGAAAAAGATCATCAAAGAGGTTTAATATGAGCCAAAATGTTGGTTTGTTAAAAACATTTATGACCTATAATAACAACGATTAATGTTATGATTTTTTTGTCTTGTTATAAAATATTATTATTAGTCTTTCTTAATACAATATTTGTTACGGTATAAGTAAACAAACCTGCTGCTAAAGCTGGTGCGATCTTCCATACGAACATGGGAATGGGGTAGTTCCATGGTAAAATCTGACCGCACACTCCCACTGGCTCTTTTAGTGTAAAAGTCACAACTTCGCCGTCTAGAACATACAACTTTTTATGAGATATGAGACAACGAATCACAATTATGACAAAGTAGAAACCAATTTATTTGATTTTAAGAGCGTACAAAGTTTGATAAAACAATATCTTATCTTGTTTTGTAAAAACAATAAAATCACTCTTAAAGATAAACAGAATTATACTCTTTTCAGTAAACATACCGGCAGGGATAGTGTTCCCCAAGATCTTGTCAGCTTTTCCTGCATAATATCTGATGATGTTCGCAGACCATAGCACCTCTCCTTCAGCTTGCTTGACCGGTTTCCCGCAATCCAAAGTCTCTAATTCAGCCAAGTACTTGAAGTTACTATCGAGCAGGTCAGCCAGTTTGAGAAGCAAACGGCCTCTTTGTGAGGCGTCCATTGTGCGCCATTCTGAGTATCGGTGGAATGCTTTGGTAGCCGCTTCTACTGCCAAATCTACATCAGCCTGAAAAATAATTTTGTTCAATTTACTTTATAATCTTTTTTTTTACTTTTTTTCTGCTGGTGTACACATTACCTTATCACCCTCAGCAACTTGAGCGATGACGGTCTCGTCCTGTGGGTTAATAGTTGGGAATGTTTTCTTGCTCACTGCATCCACCCATTCGTTGTTAATAAACAACTGAAACAATAATACTTATAACATATCAAGAAAAGTCACTTTCTTTTTAATATGTCTGTCGCCCGTAACTCCGTCCGCGCAAAATTTAAAAAAAAATTATTAGTACCCTATGTGCTATGTACTGACTGTGTTCTATATCTATGCCAAATTTCAGCAAGATCCATGGAGCCGTTCTGGAGAAACCTTCAAAAAATATCCATCCATCCATTCATTCGTCCATCCATCTAAACATTCGCATTTATAATATTAGTAAGATTAAATTATTCAAATTATTATTATTATATATCAGATTAGTAAGATTGTTGTAAAAGTTTGTAAATAATTTTCCTGAGTATAGAGATGTCAGGATTATTAGTTTTTAAATTAAATCTTGGTATTTTATCAACCAAGAGTATTATTTCCTCGTTGTAATGTTCACAAACGATACTATCGGCACAGCATAACCTTTATAGCGTTTACAGCGGAACAATACACAATTTGCGATTGTAGAACTATAATAAGTATTCTTGTACACATTGCCGTTTGTTGGGACTAAACGATTGAACGATCTAGTTACTAATTCCAGTGAATAGGACAGTTTCCGAGAGTACATATATGTCAAACGCTTTACTAAACAAAATTGTAATATACTTTTATACGATTTGTTTTTGCCGCTCCCTTTAAAATAAATGAATAAAAAACTTTAAAAATTTGCATTCAAAATAATACTGTTGGATAATCATGCAATGATTAAATAGTTTTAGGCGTAAGTATGTGGCCAAATAGATACGGTGACATTCGTGACCATGAACCCGATAAATTTTTCCGCAATATATTACGATACTTATGTCATCAAAGTGTATTCACGCTTAGATTATTTTGCGATGGAGAATTATAGGTACAATACGTATACGTATCCCTCTAAGTAAATATTTACTGATACGGTTATTAAATAAAACATGATTGCTAATTTGTATTGGTCAGTTTAGTCCTTTAACAAGTTTTATAATTATTTAAGTAAAATATTCTTGTTTTAATATTTTTGAATTGCAAATATGTATGATAATGTGTCCGTATCACTTTTATAGTTTTTGCTAGTTTATTAAATTCAAATAAATAAGTATAAATTAATAATTTTAAATAGTTGGTTTTCAAAAAACATTTCTTTGATTTTTTTTGTTTTTGTTTTTTTTTTTTTATGATAAATTCACTGGTAATATTTTGTAAATAGTTACTTGCATTACTTTTTTGTACAGGAAAATAATTATCAATTAAAATAATACCTTGGTGTATTTGATGTCCACTTTCACCATTTTTATTCGAGTATTATGGACGCGTGTTCACAGCGACGAGAATCAATTCAAAGTGACGCTATTCTATACTAAAATGTTATGTATGAATAGATTGTGTTCAGTATACGTTGTTCGCAGGGGCAACCGGCAAGTCTGGTCAGCGACATCCGATCTATTTATGGCCGCATGTTTATTTCAATGAGCCGGGAATATATTGACAATATTCAACGTACCGTGTTTATCATAGCTTATCTAACTATGAGCACAAATGCCGGTTGACATTGCTTACAAAACCAACGTGTAAAAGATCGACTAAGTGATCTCACTAGTCGTGACTACGGGTTCTCCAAAATTGTAGCGAAAATTCACGTACTTTAATCTCACAATTGACAATGTTTTTAAACTGATATAAAAACGACTAAACACTCACGTATATTCGTCCGGTGGCGGCACCGACTAGTTTCTAGCCCATCGGGGGCCCTTCATCATGGTGAGTGGTACTGGTGGTGCCGCCACCGGACGAATATACGTGAGTGTTTAGCCGTTTTTATATCAGTTTATTATAATGTCTAACTAAAGTATGAATAATTTAATGACAATATTTTTGTTTTATTTAAAATATAGTAATTCATATAAAATAGATTCAATTTGAAATTACATACCTTGGTATATTTAATCGCAACCTTCACCATTTTTAATCCTTTAACTTGGACACTGATACACATACAGTTTCGAGAACTAATGAAAGTTTTTATTGTGAACTAAAATTTTAGTATTAATAATTGTCAATGTTTACTATCACTAATTCGCACTGGCGTTTCTAATTAGTGACATCCGATCTTTATATATGATTAGATATCCTTATCTTTAACACTTGTGATCTAGACGTAAGTTAGTACCTCTATCATTAGTTGATTATAATTTGTGCAATATTTGTTTTGCCAATCGGCTTCGTCTTCCGATCTGGCATGATTAACAATCTACATTAATTAAAAAGAAGTGTAAGTTGCTGTTATCTAAAGGTATTAGAATGAAATTCGACTGTCGAAAGACACTTAACACCCCAACTGACCACCCATCTTATTCTCCCTGAAACACAGAGATTATAATATGTTTTGAACAGAGGTTTTTTTGAACAGGATTTGACCATTGTTGTATCCTAGGTCTGGATCCAGCTCGACCGTTAGTAAGTGAGTTCGGCTCCCGACGGTTCCGTTTGACCCGGGAGGACGCGCACGTGGTACATGTGCTGCATACCAACGCCGGCTTCTTAGGGGAGAGTGGCCCCATAGGACACGCAGACTTCTGCATTAATGGTGGACAAAGACAGCCCGGGTGCAAGGGACATCTTATGCGTAAGTATTTAAGATAACTCTCACAAGAAATTAATTAATAATGAAAATGAGTTAACTATCAAATGTAAGCTTAAGTACATGAAATCTAAAATTGAATTGATCTTTATCATTGATAAAATCCTTTTCGTGCAAAAAAGTAGTGTTTTATCCAGTTTGAATCTTGGGTTCGCAAGCTCGTTTATCAGGCCTATAATATGGTTATATATTCAATAATTTTAAGTAAGATATTTATGATAACGTTCTTTTTATAAAGAATAATTTCCTTTTAAGTAAAAATTTGAGTCACAGCTACCAACATTTCTTAGATTGAGAAAATAAACGCTTTAACAGTTTAAATTGAACCAATAGAGTTCAATTTAAACGTTCAATGTCTCTGTAGACTAAACAACTAAGCGGACCAAGTGAACTAAGATCTCTGCAGTCTATTATATCGATAAAATACTGAGTGATAAAAAAATATTGCGTCTCCTTAACACAATTGAAGTCTCCAAAGATGAACATTCTGGTAAATAACCTGAAGGGTTATATAGAAACAAACTTTTTATTTTATATTGTTTATTTTAAATGTAATAGCGTTATATAACGGATACCAATAAAGTGATAACTTATAATTTATAATTGTTTAATAACCATATTTTCATTTACCTTATCTTTGACTTTTTACTTATTCTTCTTACTTCTTACTAATATTATAAATGCGAATGTTCGGAACGATGGATGTTTTTTTGAAGGCATCTCCGGAACGGCCTAATATATCTTGATGAAATTTGGCACAGATGTAGAACATAGTCTGGAAGAACACATAGGCTACGCACTAAGATTTTTTTAATTCCGCGCGGACGGAGTCGCGGGCGCCAGCTAGTGTACTACAAATGTTTGTTTCGCAAAACAGTAATAATTTTAATTAATGTAATCAAAACAATTATCATTGACATTATCTTTAGAAAAACATTGAAATATCGTTGAAAGAAAGATTTATATTATCAAATTAATTACTTCCAATGTGCTTTAAAATATTTTTTTTATGTGTTTGAGTAGGGATCTTTATGTGTGTTAATATTTCATATGAGTCACAACGATTTCTTTTGGGTTACTGCACTGAAAATTAAAGGCAGCAACTTATAAAAATATTCATGATTTGCAAATGGAAAGTGTATATAGTAATTTGTGTGTAATGCAGGTATATCTCGATGCAGTCATTTCATGAGTTCGTGTTACTTCGCGGCGAGTGTGCGTCGTCGTCTCCACATAGATGCCATCCCCTGCGATAGTACATGTCCCAAACAAGGACGCTGGGGACTTCGGATGGACAGGAAACCGGTGTTATTAGGCAACGATATTCCTGACACGTATGTAAACACAAAACATCTCTTTATAATCACATTCGTTCAGTATCTTTTCAACTCCTCCTAATGATATTTTGTGAGAAATTTTACACGATTTGTAATTTGCACAATTCGATAGGCGAAGATCACAGATTTATACCTAATGGCGCATTCAAGAAGAGCTAACTGCTTTTATACCAAAAAGAAAGGAAAAGATGTTGGAAAAGGGATGCATGTAATTCGTACGGCTGTTACCCAGTGGAATTTAATTATTTTGTGTTTCCGTTTCAGAGCTCGGGGGATGTATTGTGCGCAAGTCGACAATGAAGAGAATTGTCCTTTCGATTAATCAAGACCTGTAAATTCGTAATGATAGTACAAATATGATACAATTATAAAAATAATTTTGTTAGGGATTTACTTAATTTATGTTCTTGTTCTTAGAGAAAACAATATTTTATTTTAATGTTGTCGTTTTTATTTTTAGTTTTAAATTATGTGAATATTTCATGATATACCAAGATTTGTGTGCGATGTTGTGTTTCTCGGTGTAAACGTAACTGATACAACGGTGCAGGAGAAGTTGCAATCGTCGCTGTAGAAAACAGATTTGAAGGTCATGTCGCCGTACAGAAACATACCACCGTAATACTTCTGAGCAACTTTCTCTAGATCAATGTTAAAAGCATAGTGGCCCTGTATAAAAAACAGAATTTGGTTTGAAATATAACAATTATTAATATCTGTCACAATCGCTTATAAATTTGCTTCCTTATAATCGGAACATGGCTAGTCGGATTATAAATTAATAAAGTTCACAATCGTTCAGTGACATTGTATAGTTTCTTAAGTTATTCATAGTATAATTGTTTCGTTTGATGAGATCCAAAATTTTGTGTTCATGATAGCAGACCGGGAACTTTCATCTTTTGCAATTTTAAAAAATATTTATATAAATAGCCTACAGTAATGCTGCGTGCATCAGCTATATATTCTAGTGAAAATAAATAAGAAAGACTTCTGATAATGAAAAATTAGATAATTACTTTTATAAAAATGCAATCTTTCGTTACATTCAGTATCGACTGAAACAAGGGGCCCATGAACAAATGGTCACAAGGTTTCTTCATTTGCAGCCTCACTAGCTGCTTGCCATTCGCGCTCGCTACAATTTTACCCTGAAATTATATTGTTTTAAAAGTAACCAAATTAATATACAGTTATTATGTTACTAAGCTACTCACGGTCATTATTTGAAAGTTATGTAAGGGAATATCTTGTAGATTTAGTATGAACAATTGCTTTGTTTTTTGTAAACATATTATCTTGAACTTTTATTAAGCCAAAAATTGAATTTATCATGGTAGAAGCTGGCATGAACACGAACAGCTTATAATGTTAGAAACATCAACACTTTATCAAAGACTTATCTCACCCTATTTGGTATGACGTTTTCCTTAATATCAATATCGTAGAATAAGTTGACGCCATTTTCCATCCTTGCTGTTATTATACTACAGTCTCTACGCTTTGGACCCTTACATGTATCTAGATCAGTAACTTTTAATGTAAACAAACCCTGGAAAAATTTACGTATTAATATTTTAATTTATTTTTCGTTACCAAGATTTGAAGTCTAATAACGGTGTTTTATTTTGCGGGTACGTGTTAAGTTAACAATCGTGTCCTAGAATGCTAGGAAATAGCTTAATGAGCTGCATCCAAAAACTCTTAATTCAGTTCATTCGATATGCAATGTACCTTAAATTTACAATTTGTCTAGGCAAATTACAAAAGGGCGGTATTGACTTACATAATTTTCGGCGGCCACGTTCACACAGAGTAGACCGTATAATATAAATTTATACATTGTTAAGTAGTTCACAATAAAACAAGATAAAACATACAACAATATTGAGTAGCAATAAATTTGTATCAAGTATATAGCTATTTAACTTTATCTGATCAATCTGATATGATTCTAATGTATAACTGGTCATATAAAATTGCTTTTAGTTTAAAAACTGATTCATTATAATAATTAGTTTTATCGTTTACTAGCAGTAGTCCCCGACTACGTCGAGCGGGATTAAAATATCTAGTATAGATCTATGCCAAATGAGAATAGTGTAGCTTTTCGACAGTGAAACTACTGAATTGTTTTTTTTAAATCGATACAGTAGTTTCGTAGCCTATTCAATCTAAACAAAATCTTTATAAAATTAGTGTAGATAATGTATCGTGCTTTTTTATTTTTCCATAACCATTTTAAACATCAGAATTCGAATGAATTTTGAATTTTGATATCGCTATTCGTTTAAGTGACCTCTCTATCAAAAAATTATAATTAAATCTCTTTAGCTAAAATAAAATAAGGAAATATCATATAATGAACGGAGATAATTTTGTCAAAGTCTTCATGACATATAAAATGACAAAGACAGAAGAAATCTTTTTGATAAACGATTTACATTAGAAGATTAAAAAAATGTGTAATATAGTTATAGAGAATATTACAACCATTACAGATTTGCATTTTAGAAGGCATCAAATATAAACTGAATACAATGATTCAAATGAATGTTAAAAATATTAGTATAATTTTTAAATTTTTGAGCCTGGGTGTTGTGATAATGGCTGCTGTATTCTGGACCGGTGCGGAAGTGGAGACAAGGTCGAAGGATAATGATGAGCAGACGATGATCGGTGGTGCCATCTGGACCCAAATCGTACTTACTATCGGTCTTATTATATCAACGGTGGTAGATGATCATATACAACCTTTTGTTGAAGGTTACTTTTTATTTACCGCAATGCTACTACTTATTGTGACAGGACTAATATTGGTTAGTTATAAAATTATAATGTCTGTATTTTCTACCAATGTAAAGATTTACTATCATCTTTAACAAGTAAAAGATTTAACATACTTATGTAAAAAGTAGTCCTGTTCAGCAAACATATTTTGAATGCACAAAACTTTTAAGAGTAGCAAAATCTTCAAACGATTAGCAGAGTTCGTGTTTTCGAGTTTGAGTTTTATAGCTGAGTAAATTTTTAATTTTAGATCAAAATAGAATTTAAGAAAATGCGTAGACGACAACAAATACCAAGTGCGGATCAAGTCATTAGTACAGAAAGAAGCAGCTCCCATCATGTACGGCCAAACACTGTCGATAGGACTTATCTCGCAATCGGAGCCTTATGTCTCTTGTCCGGTGTTTTTACACTTGTCGACTTTATATTCTTGAGTTTATCGTATACTTTATTTTAAATCTGTTTACGTGATTTTATAAAATAATGTAATATATCTAATTTATATTTAAATATACGTATTTGATGAGCTAATTTATTATTTTCTTGATAAGTTTAATACGACACTATAACCATGTTTGCAACACGTGGTTGGAAATTAGACTCATATTACTATACAATTGTATACGGCAATGTTTAAATCGTCGTTAATAATATTTATTAAAGTTACGTTCAATGTACCCTTAGTTCATATAATAAATTTTAAACATACACTAATGTTTATTCAACAAAATGTACACTTGGACGAAAGCAGCTATCGGCACACAGTCAGCTATAACAAAGACAGGCGATAAAATAGAAAATTTAAATTTTATTATCTGCATGCGTCTATATACAAGTTCTAGAGCCGTGTCTCTTTTTTATTATCAACTAGCTGTCGCCCGCGACTCAATCATCGCGGAATTAAAAAGATCTTCTAGACTATGCAAGACTTCCAGACTACATCTATGCCTAATTTCAACTAGATCCATACAGACGTTCTGAAGATATCTTCTAACAAACATCTGCCCATCCATTCGTTCAAACATTTACATATGAAACATTAAATACGAAAACAAAATCACAAGGAAAACGTAGTAGCTGGTACCGTACCGTTATATAGATTTGATTTGACTCACTTGTTTATTTCCGTATCATATATAATGAGTCCTCTATGAAATATATAGTCGAGAATCCTAAGAATGTATTAGCGAATCTCGACTTCATAGCTGGAAACTAAAAAGCAACAGCAAACATTTCCATAACCTTGCGCCATATATGGTTAGGTTAGCAGTTATCAGCATTTAAAGGAATGATTTATAAGGTTGTCCGCGTGGAAAAGTCTTAATTAGTAACCTATTTGTTCTTCCAGACTATGCTCAATATTAATGCCAATTTTTATCGAGATCCATTGAGCCGTACTGGAGATACCTTCTAACAAACATCCATCCATACATCTAAACTTTCACTTATATAATATTAAAGTAAGATTATAGTTTTAATCGTGCGCTATAGTTTTCCTAACTATGTTTAACAAGGTTAATATATACAAAAGCTATAAAAGATTACATTGTTATAACTCTACGAGCGGATTCTAACCCCATTGTCATGTAGAAGACTACGATTGCAGTCACTAGTGAAAAGATCGCGAGAAAATGCCATTTGGATTGTAAGTAGCTGTTTTAATTTTAAATAACATACTAATTTAAATAACAATGTCAAAATCTTCAAATAGACTTCGTACATGGATATCAAGTGTAGATGTTCGGCTACAAAAGTCAGTAAACTGTATTAAGCAGTAAAACATACTTTTAATGGTTGGTTTCTGAGACCAAAATTTACCTATTCCTTACCTGATATCTATTCAAGAACCTAATATGATAAATATTTAAGTGATAAGGAGATGAACACTTTTGTCGTTATCATGCTGTAAATAACTTTGGAGAATGGTGTTTGTGTTAACAACAATATAAGTATTATACATTTATGTTTTATCAAGGATACTCGTAATATTGCATAATATGGTGCAAAGTGCTTCCGTTATCTACAAGTTGATACAAGTTCAAGTTCTGAGTTCTATCTTATTGTATTTTTATTAAAAAAAAATGATATTTGTTATCGTTTATATTTTATAAACAAATATCAGCATAACTTCAAAACATTCATTAAATTTGCGAAGCATGTAATTAAAATCGCTAAGAGCTGTGTTTGTCTAGAAAACCTATACATCTATTTAACCCCCGGGCTTTTGTCAGTCAAATTTCTTGGGTTGTATGGCTGAAATGAATTGCATAAGTGTGATGTTATTTGATTCGTATTTTCCATTGGAGGAGTTAGAGTCAGTTGGAATTGTCTTTTTAATTTAAGGTCATTCGTACACAAGGGAATGTAAATTGTCAAAACCAATATAGCATCGCGAGATTCGCGTTGCGCGCTCCATGCACGTAACTTTGAATCGTCAACGTAATATGTCTATTCAGTCAGTACAGGTATAGCGACTACACGAAAAATATATAGATTTGCTCAGCCATCTTGAAACGACTTTTCTCACGACTGTCGACTACAGATAGAGATGTTGGCGACGGAAGATGTGTTTTAACCTTTATGACATTGTATTACGAAAGTCACTTGGCGAGTAATGTTGAAGTTTCGAAAAAATGGCGATTTTTTTTTTCGAGATTTCGAAGTTTTGATATTCAACTTGTTTAATGGATCTGTTTTCTTTCAGCATCTTGATAACGGGCCTGTTAGCTTTCGGCGCCTACTGGACAACGAAATATTTAATGAGCATGCCTGAACCCCACTCAGCATCTGTAACGCCACCCGCGACCGTCCCTGAACCAGGCGCATGGAAAATATAAATAGAAAAAATCATTACGTTATGGAATTCTTAAATTAATTGCAATAAAATACATATGTATTCATAATGTTATAGAAGTTTTTATTTTTATATATTTATTGATATTTAGTAGATATTATAATATGAATAGATAATTAAATTAAATACAAATTACGATTATGATTGACTTTTTCTTATGATTTCAAATTTAAAGTGTTATTTAGAGTAAAATTCTACGTCTAGCTTTGCTAATATAAAATTATATTTTAGAACATTTTTTCGATAGATAGACTATAGAGTCCAATTATGTAGGATATTTTTTATCTAAGTTTTAAGTTATATTAACTATTAATCTATATATATTAAAGAAAGTCGTGTTAGTTACACTATTTATAACTCAAGAACGGCTTTATTGATGTAGCTGAAAATTTGTGAGGAGGTAGCTTAGAGCCAGGAGACGGACATAGGATACTATTTATTCATTTTTTTTCGAATTTATACCTTGAAGAGCTGCTTTTATTTAACTTATCTATATATTAAGTTTATATATCCAAGCGGAAGGAGTCGCGGGCGACAGCTAGTTAAAGATAAAAAAGGTTCCGATTCTAAAGGTAATTAATTAAACAATACAAACTACAAAAGTGGCTCAAAAGTGACAGGAAAAATAAATTATTTGACAATATAATGTCAATCACTTTATCTCGATATCTTAAGATTTATTTGATGAATAATGGTTATCATTGAATAATATTTATTTCAGTAACATGGCTTTTGGATAGTGAGTTGGAAAGAGAGATATTAATTTACATAATTTTAGGAGGTGATAATATATTAGTGAAGTACAGATTTGACATAATTTCAATTTCGTAGTGTTCCTCTTTATTATTACTTATTAAACTTGAAAAGATGTACATTTTTAACCAATATAACATTTTTTGATATTTAGGGAGGTTTGAAAGGAGCTAAAAAAAAAAGCTAAAAAAAGTAAAACAAGACTTGAGACGTATCGTCGAGGAAATCATTTCATAAAATCTTACCGAAAGTACATGTGCTATTTAAGCACAGTGAAATTAATTAGTGAACGAAATTAGCTTTTTATTTGGTATTTTAGTAACAAGCGTATAAATACTGCAATTAAATACTAAATTAATTGTTTCTTGTTTCAGTTTGCTCGTAATTTGCATTCTAATATATAGCATACATTTCTGTGTGCAGTATATACTACAGATCACAGACACAGAGAAAATAAACACGACATCAATGTTAGTATACAAATATGAAAATGATGCAAATCCAGAAAACATGATTCAATATGATTAAAAATCATTAAATAATCACTTTAGTTTTACTTAAATACTGGCTGTCCGCCTCGCGGAATTAAATAAACTTAAAAGTGACCTATGTGTTCTTCCATATCTATAGCAAATTATCTCAATATCCGTTGAACCGTTCCGACGATACCTTCCAACAAACATCCATCCATCTAAACATTCGCATTTATAATACATATATTAGTAAGTATTTTAGCTTAAATGTACAGCTCAAAGGATGCTCTTCCTATTGACTGAAGTCGATTTTAGTAAAGATAAAAGAAACATAAATATGTATATAAAGGTATTTTTTTTAGTGATATCGTAAGTTAAACTCTTAAGTGCAATAAGTCAAACATGCGTTTGGAAAGCTTTATGTATAAAGGGTTGGTTGCAGTTTACTGTTAAATAATATGGTGAAGTGAACTCAAGCTCTACAATTCAATACCGGAGCGCTGGTTGCGACCGCGTCAGAGATCATGTTACTTAAACCGCAAAACCGTCAACTGACTCTTTAAACATCTATTGTCTTGAGCGTTCTATTTCATAGAATGTCAGAGAATTGTGAGAAAAAAACAATAATGAACAGGAAATTAAAGTTTACAAACGTTGAAAGAGATACGCAGATGTTGGAATAAATAAATGTTTTAGCAACATTAGCATTCAATCTCATTGGACGTTCATTGTCGTTGCAGTGTTTTTTATTTGATTTATCTTTTATAATATTTACGTGTATAAATAAACCGTTTGTTATAAAAATGGCACACCCTTTACTGTAAGTAGTTTATAACATTTTTTTCATAATTCATTTCAGTGTTTTGTTAATTTCATTTAAACAAGAGTTAATTTTGGTCTCTTTTCTTTAAAAATTATGTCTGTTACAGTTAAACTCAACATATTATATAACGATTTCCTCTCAGTATTTGTTAAGTAAATTATCGCTTAATGATCTAAATTCTGTCATAATTCTTTACAAACGTAAATTTTTGTTATGTAAGAGGGGATAAATTCATCAAATTTTAATTAGTTTCCATATTCTTCAATATTCATCATAGGTATTAAGACATAATTTTCTCACAGAGTAATTGTGACTGGCGCAGTAATAGCAGCGATCTTTCTCGGCGTGAGATATGCGTTTAACCTCGAAGATAATCCTGATGAAGAATTGGTCACCGTTATAAATGATAGCTGAAGCTTTAAACTCATAAACGCCATAAATATCTTCACTGTACCATGTAAATAACAAATGTAGGTTTATTTTTATTTTATATTTACACCAGACCAGAACAGAAGAAGGAAATGAGACACATTTTAAAATACAAAGACTTATGTTCTGCCTGCTAGTTGCCTATATATAGAATATTTGTCAAATCCATTTCTCTTCTATCTATCCTTTCCTTATAAGATAAAGGTGGAAATGGTAAGAGGACTAATAGTAGTCCTCCGCAACGTACACGCATCACACGAAACGAGTGCTGACACTTCACCCCTATCTTCTATGTGGTCGTAGTATTTCACTACGTCAGCCGGCCCATTTGTGCAACAGATGTTTTTGCCTTGAACAAGTGCTCACAGAAGTATTCTTGTGTTTCTTTTGTTTACATACATAAGAACGCTTTGTCCTCGGTTGTAGACTGGACATGGGCGATAGGAAAAGCATATCGACAGTCGACATTATTTATATAAGCATGTATAAACAAAATAAGTTATTAATTCCCAATAAAGTGTTTTAGGGAGTTCTAATATGTAATTAACAGAGCAGTGGTTAAAGTTAATATTAAAAGAAAAGGTATTTGATATTGTTACTTATAATGTATAAATTTATTATTTTATTAACAATTATGCGTGCGGATTTGAATGTGATATTGCAGTATTTTAAGTATTTATTTTAAGAAGATTTTTTTCATAGTGTCTGTGCCAAATGAAATCATATTAAATGAATATTAAAACATGTGGTTACAATGTTGTATTTTTATTAAAATTATAATAACATTCTTGTAGTGTTTTTTCAGAGTATAATTTAAAAGAAGTAATAATCGTGGCATAGCGTGCTTGCTCGTTTTACAGATAAAAGCAAGCGCAAGCGGAGGTAGAATCGTTGATGTTTCAAAGTGAGTTTCTACTGTAAGAACAACTGTTCAAAACCATATTGGCTCAATTGTTTCAAAGGTTATGAGAGGGACAAAACTATTTTTTACAGTTGGTAGTGAAAACTGATTGTAACATGGTACGTCGTAACGTATCAGCAAATTAAAACTTAGCCTACATTAGAGAGGACTAAAAAAATATTTCTTTAAAAGCTTTGAAGCAGAAATCAAATGGGACCAATTGAGAAAATTTTATTAATTATTAATGAGAAACATTTTTTTTTTCATTTTCATTACCATTGAGTCACATAAGTTGGTCCCTTATCATTTTACTGTGTTATATAATAAAATAACACGATATAGCAACAAATAAACTTATATTATAAATTCACAACGTAATCACTAGTATTTATCATCATAGTGCTTTTAAACAAACTTATGAATACATAATTTCAATATAGCTTAATATTTATGTAAAAGATACTTCTAATAAGTAGTTTTTTTTATATTTGTCATAATGTAAAACTTTCCTACGTTTCATTAAGTGCTGTAAATAACATTTATCTTAACATTTTGACAATTTAATTAAAGGGAAATATATTTTTCCAGGATAAATATTTTGAGAACTTTTTTTTATCAACATCTCTAGCATTTACAAAACAATATTAACAGCTATTTACTATTCTACTTTTTTTAAGATAACGATGGAAATAGACGAAGAAGAATAAATATTTAAATTTAAGTACGCATAAAAATATACAATATGTGATAATATACACACATGGCCAAAATATATATGATATGTCTTAAAAGGCCCAAATAATATTTTATAATTTCTTACAATGCTATGAAAGTATTAAAACAGATTGTGATTTAGATTGCGCAATATTCGTCAAATGTTAAATTAATTACACACATCTTTAAGGAATGGACGTTACACAATTATAATTGTTTTCTTACATACTACATGTGCAGGTACATTATGTTCTACAACTACACGAATACAATAAATTAAGTGATTTCTTCGAACACATTCAATTTCATAAAATTTATACATTGTATATAATTGTTATATACAATTTAAATCACTTGAACAATATATTTTTGTATTATTAGGCCATAATATAGAACATGATTTGTCTATTAATAAGATGTGCATAATTTTCTTCTTCTTTTCTAATTCTTAAATTAATGTGGTCATATAACGCAATATTTTAAAGCACCTAATTACATTCAACAATTCAATGGAACAGGCTCTGCTAAAGTGTGTGTATGCTTTAAAGTGAAATGCTTAGTTACCAGTGATCTATTTAAATGTTATTGAAAACAGCGAAAATGTTCCATTTAAAATAGTAACTAACACACTATGACATACAGACAACAAAAGAACACAGTCTGCTTATCTTAGCGAAAGGTTAATAATTATGAGTATTCTTATTCGATGTGATTCAGGCTCAGACATGTTCCCTAACGGCGTTTTAATGCGTTGATATCTTCAAGATTATTGCTTCTGCAGCAATTTTAAGCTCAACTTAAGTTTTGTTTTAGTACGGCGACTCTGATGAGCATTAAATTTAATATTTTATCATTTCGAGGGGGCCAGTGCCATTAAATATTTCATTTGTGAAATGTCCTTAACTTCACCATCCATACATGTTTGCCGTGGTGCCCTCTCATGTCACCATCTCACTTTTATATGACCGCTTAAAACTTTGCATAAACTTTTTATTTCTTTTTATTGGTCTTGCGTTTCGGATATAACCCTTCCATCCCTTTGCCAAATGGTTCCGATGCGTTTGTTGTTAAGTAGTATGAACCTTTTGCTCTGGAATTAAATTGATATTTTCATTTATAAATATTATCTTTAAATAGTAATATACACATGTTAGGCGTATTGGTAGAATACAAATTAAAGATTAAAGTATGTCAAGGTTTGATTAAAGGCGTTAATAAATTAATATAGTGTTTTACCTTAGATCACAATCTGCACCCATGTAGACCATGCCTACTTCAGGCTTAGTGTTCTCTTTGAACTTCTGGTAGGAATCCGCGGGCGAGGCAGGGAATGCCTCGGGGTTTCGTACAGATTCCGCGTAGAACCTCCACGAACGCCAGTGGCTGCATAAATCTGAAAATTGAGACATTCGTATACAATATACATAACAGGTTTAAAATCATTGCTGTTCACAAATTACCATGATTTCCCATTAAAGCAGAGGCAATTCTAAATTTTCTCATAATTTTTTTCTTTAAGTATTTTAGTTTTTTTTTTTGATTTTAATTGACTGTCTAGTAATCTTTATGTTACAGATATTCAGTATCTGAATCTCATTTTCTCTATTATTCAGTCTTGACAGACTGGTTTTGGTCATTAAGTATTACAGTTGTATTGACCTATCACTCTGTGTGCCGTATAGCTAAGCGCTGTTTTATTCAAATATTCTTGGAAAAGCTATATGCTGAGTTCGCATATTTCTTGCAAGGATAGGGAGTTGTTTTTAGTGTGAGCTTTTATCGTTAGTTACTGTGTACTCACTATCATCGGAGAGTGGTACGGGAGCGAAGCGGGGGCAGCCTGGCTGTGTTCGCCGGCCACCGTTGGGCCAGAAGTCAGCGGTGCCAGTGCGCACTGGCGCGCCATATCCACCTGCGTCCGTGTGGATCACGTCCACAAATTCTGCGTCTCGCTCACACACGTGTTCCATCACTACGCCGTCCGGGTAGAACGCGGGGAACGCCGGATCCAGGGCTGTTAGCCTAGAATTTAAAACAATCTATGTCAGTCTTACGTCTACTACGTAGGTCTACAATGTATAATAAATTAAAATTTAAAAAGTTAATATTTGTAGTGATTTTTTTACACTTTAATATGATTTACTTATTAGCTATTCAAAGGTAACAGCAATTTACTTTGCCGCCGCGAAGTGGACACTGCAATAAAATAATAGCAATTTTAACGACATAAATTTTTGCTACTTACCTTTTAACAGTTTTATTAAATTTGTTTTTGAGTTCGCGCGCTGTATACCCAGCCACATGACTGCCAAGTGAGTGGCCTATTAAATGAAGTTTGTCCAACTGAAGACCGGCCTCAGATAATTTGTTAATGTATTCAGCAGTTGTGGCTCCCACCTGAAAGGTACGCGTATAATTTAACTTTCAATTATAATAATACGAATTGCTTCTTAGATATGTAGTTAAGATCTAGATTTCCAACAAATCTTTAAAACAAGATCAAGAAAGCAATTTACGATATCCAAAATAATATGATGCAATACATTTTGCTTTCGTGGTCTAAAAGATTTATTATAGACACGCGATGTGGATATCAACTTGATATTGTTTTGCTAATAAATTAAGGTTAGGTTATTAGGTTATATCAAATCAAATAAAATATTTTTGCGGTAGAACAAACTTAAATATTTTGTTTAAAATCGTATCCAATTTCGCAAGCCTACTCGCTAGGCTAGCTTAACGGTCTTCATTCGAATCTCTAATCCTGTCTGGTGCGTATCCAATTTATTTCGGATTCTTCAAAAATAAATTTGTCAAATTTTGTCGGTGTGCGGTATAAAACTTTATCTCGCTTGGGGTTTGAAAACGATAGATTACTTATATATATGTGGATGTGTATAACTTTGGTATTTTCTAATTTTAATGTACAGAATTATTTATAACAGTAGCACAGATTTAGTAGACGGTATAGTGGTAGAAGTCAGCAACAACAACATTTGTTCCACGAATTAACCGGCTCGACCGGTGAAATATCATGACCACAATGAAGACAGTGGTGAAGTGAACGTAATTCTGCGTTTTGTCTCATGAGTGCGCTTGCCGGAGACCTAATTTTCCCTTCTTCTTATCCTTTTCTTATAAGGATTAGTTGGGAAGAGGAGGGAGACGGAAAAAAGTAATCGAGTACCAATGAATTGTTTATGATAATGCGATCAGTTTTTATTCCATTCTGAGCGTAGAAAAACATCCGAATACTTTAATTATAAACTGGTTTTAATTCATTGATCATAAACAACTTGTTGTTTGAATTTGTTTCTTTCTTATCTTGTGATTTTCTCAAAACCTTGATGCGTTACATGACATGATGATCAGTCATCAGGTAAGAAATATAAAATCTACTATTTCCCGCTATCATTTAAATTTATCTATATTTAAATTGTAATGTTAGTCATAAATATACATATTATGTTTATGTCACAATCTAGTAGAGTAGTTTGCCTTCTAAAGTGACCATGAATTTAAATACATACCCGAAGTGATGACTTTTTGTAAAATTATGTATGTGTCAAAATACATCTTGCTTCAACTTCCGCCCGGTAGTGAATAAAAGTTTCATTAAAAACACACGAAGGACATGTGAAATTTACTTTTGAATTTACTTCGAGATCGTAGTAAATATAGTACCTTTAAATTATCTGAACTGAGAATGGTCACCGTACCATAGTTTCATTAACAGATTAAATTAATATGGAAATATATAACTTAAGGGTTGTAAAAATTGAATTTTTGTTATAAACTATATTACGTGTTAAAACGTATTGGAGGATTTGAAAAGATAAAATACCTTTTTGGTGTTTCTAGCTGCGTTAACTAGATATGAGCCGTGCGCCATATTGGCCCAGTCCAAGAGCAGCACATTTGTGTTTGGTCTCGCCTCCAGGTATGCGTTCACCATGACCTATAGACATTTTCATCAGATGAAATATCCAAAGTTATAAAAAACTTTATGCAAATACTATTTATATAGAAGTTGTCACCATATTTTTGTTGCAAAGTTTCTTATGTCATTTCTCAGATGGTTTTGATTGTGTGACAATTGTCTCTATTTTATCGAAGGAAATGAAAGGTATCACGACATGTCATAAAGCGTCAGTGCAGTCAGTCAGTGAGTTCTAAGGTCATTTTAAGAGTAGCTCTAAAATTATTATTCTGGTCCCATTATATTTTATTTCATTGTCTAATAGAACTTAATAATATACGAATGAAAGGTGTTTTTAAGTTGGACAAGATACGCTTTCGTTGGACGTTGACCTCAAGAGTTATTGTGAAACCAGTTCTATTAAAAATTTTCCATTCTACGAGGGAAATCAAATCGGGCGTAGCATGCAAAGTTAGTATTAAGACGTAACTTTAATATACTTGTTAGAAAGAAGTCCCAAATAACTTATCATGAGCATTCAACTTTCTAATGTAAGTACGGTAACTAATACTAAAGTCTGAAAGAGTTTAGAATCTGGTTTGGATATTATCAAAAGTGTTACCATTAAATTTAAATGGTATACAAAGAAAATTAAAAATATACATCCTTAAATGGTATATCTTATATAAAACCAATAAGCTGGAGTGACTGTAAAATTTTTAGTCAAAATCAGTCGTCATTGTGTCATAATGAACCAAAGAACAAAATACATACAAATAGTGTATCTCTTCTGTCTTTCCGGAATAAAACTAATAGACCTAAAATCAAAGTAAGATTAAAGGAAGCCGTTCGGATGAACTGATCTCTTCTAATTACCTTGATACTTTCCTGATGAGCCGTCTCGATGAAGCCATGGATATAGAGAACTGTAGCCTTACTTCTGTCGAAGCCTTTGATGTCGAATAAGTCGACGGCTTGACTGAGCGGTATGTCTATGTACTCGTGCGACGAACTTCTGTACGACGAATTTATGTATTGTTAATGAGATTCTTAAATTGATTATCGGAATAAAAAGGAATATTAAAAAAAAAATAGTTTATATTTCGCTACAGTAATTTCAGAATTTTGTACTGAAGATTTTCAAAGAATAACAGATAGCGTTGAAATGCGGCTTAGGAATTAGTCTCATGCGATATTGCGAATACTTTTACGCCGTGTAAATAAAAACTGAAATGAATCAAGTCCAAGAATTCTTAAGAAGACTCAGAGGTACTCTCTTAGTAAATTTTGTAGTGTAAAAAAACTGCGAAAAAGAATATGAATGAAACACCTGATGAACACTCTTCAAAATCGATATGGGCTACAGAACATTACAATGCTACAGACAAAACAATATGCTCATTTTCAGTCGGACAATGATTAAATTCTAATTGCAGATATAATGCAAAGGTTAATAATTGTAAAATATATAATTTATCTTTTAATTATTTTAAGTTTATATTCAATGTACGAATGTGTATAAAATTATTGTAAATCGGAATGTAACATACCCGTTGTAATAGCGCAGATAAATATCTTCGACTCTGTTTGCTCTGTCAGGCAAGACTCCTGTAACAGAAAAAAATATATAAAAATACTTAATAGTTAATAACGAGTTTACACAATTACTATTAAAACAGAAATACAGTTTAAATGGCCGACAATGTTAATTATATTACACAATAATTTAACTGTACTACATTCTGACATTCTAAGTAGCTACAAAATGCTTTTAAAATATAATTAATTATGAATTTCGTTACAATATGGACTCCGGCGTTAAACATTAGTGTCCATCTGTTTTAAAATAATCTAATTATATTTTACTTATTAAAAAAAAAAATTGAAAGCATTAAAATTTATTTTTCCATATGAATTTTACTTTCAAATATTTCTTAGAATTATCTTCCTTAAAAATATCATATTATAAAAACTATATAGATTTTTTCACGAACGTAAATGATAAAAGAGAACGACATACGTATAATTAAATTGTAAAAAACGAATGAATTAGACAACTAATAGTCCATCCATATAATTATTTCTATAATTATTAAAAAAACTCGATGTCCATATACTGCACGTAAGCTATTTTCCTTTAGAAGAAACAGTAAGGTTAAGTATAAGTTGCCGAAGCGACTGACCGCCATGATTGTTGTTTTTTACCTTGAACGCTGCATATAAAACATGAGAAAATCGCTTCCTAAGACATTACCATACTAGTGAGGTTTTATCTATTTACGAAGAATTTACAAGTTAAATCTTTATTTATGGTTATAAAAATAACGCGGTACACAATTCTGTAACTGTATTGAAAATTTACAAATACAATTAAAAAAGATAGATTTACAATATCGAAAATGATACGAGGAGAAAATAATTGCCTATGAAGTCTTCTTTACAATTGAAATAAAAAGTTTCCACATAACGTTAATTCCCATCATTAAGTACAAATAAGTATCCATATTGTATTCATCCAAAAAGTATTAAACTAACGAGTCGTTTCGTATAAACATTTCAAAATTATAAGATAAGTTTTCCTTAATTTGCTTGTAGACAAGGAAAAAATTGAAATGTATGCAGATTCTGCACGCTCACTAAACAAATATATTTATTTTCCGACTTACGAAAGTATCGTATTTTTTGCACACATGTATTTGTGAAGGTACGTGTTAATGTGAGGAAATTTATGTCTAATTTTTACAACCTGTTTTCGATTAGTATTAATTCTGTAGAATATTTTAAAGGTAAAGTAATTATTACGATGTTTAACGAGAATATGGTATTTTCTGTCTCTCGCTATTTCTCCTTGGCAATGCACACTGGAAACTTAATATTCAGGTAACGACTACGTATATAATATAATATTACTATGTTAAGCACGTATGTACACATTATATCTATAATTCAGGAAATACTTCTGTCACGATAGCAACCGTACTCTGAGAATTTGCTATGAAAATTTTATTCCTTTTAATGAGGAGACTCTTTTGTATTCAGAGCACCGATTCAAGTTTTAAATTGTTCGGTTTAAAAATATTTTAATGCAACTTTTCTTTTATATAAACTATTACTATTTATTGGCGATTTATAAGTGAATATAATACATAGAAACAATATGTTTAATGTTAAACACGAACGGTCTGTTTAGCAATACACTTGATGTGGAATTAGAAGATTTAAACATCAAGTTGCGTTGTTATAACCAAAATTATAATTACTATTAAAATGATAACATGCCAAAAGCTAGTTACTAAAGATAAGGATAAGGAAAGTTGTTAGTTACTTCGTCAGCTGCCACGTGTTACTCGTAGCTTATGAACGTGACACAATTAATTTCCCTGTCCGTTTCAGTAAAACGTGTCTCGTTTAGTTGCCTCAATATAGCTATTATCTCTGATTATGACAAGGACTGACAGTCAGCTTAGGATAATATAAATCATCCGACTGTTGTATTTGTTTTTCTGATCAAGTTTATGTCAAGTTAATATAATGATATTGAATGTTGATGGCGGCTCCTTAGCCGCCTTAGAGGAAGGCCGAAGAAGGTATGTATGTATGTTTTGGGAAATAGGGTATGCATAAGAAGGGAGTGAAGTCATTACTAAGTTCATACTTTGCCATCTCTCCGTAGGGAAAAGGGATGGAAGATGATGACGGCGACAATGAGGATGATTTGAAATTTATTTTTAATTTACTATACTTATTTCTACTAAATTGCTTTAATCAAAAGTTCAACCTTTTTAATTATTTAAAAACTGACTTGGGGTTAAGCACAACAAGACATTTCATATACGTAAATCAATAGACGTACTGTACTTAAATCTCTGGCCTAAATTCTGTGTGACCTAGATGCTGAGACTAACGCATATTACGTATCTAGTGCTGGAAAAACATAAATACAGAACAGCTTACCTAATAGTAGATACAGTTCTAGAGATTAAAAATTATAGAAAATTATTCTTTATTTTTAAATTTTACTCCCTTAGAGGCAAGCGCTTAAAGAAGTCTAAATAATTTTATTGGCACAGCATGTATTTCTCTTCCATAACCTCCATCAGCCGTCAAATTTGTAAGAAGGGATCTTACATGTAACATCATTCACACAATGTTTCCGAAGAAGTGTTTCCGATTATCTCTATTTTTGTTAACTTGTTTATTCCTATTGCTTAAAGATTTATACAAATTTTACAATACAGTTAATAAAGAATTTAAAAGATAAATCTGACGTAGCAACTGTTTGAGTTCAAAAATCGCTGTCTATTCATCCAGATAGTCTGTTTCGCGATTAAACTTTCAGAATAAATTTCCTAACCTGTGATAAAATATTTAAAAGTTCAGAGCACGCCTAAAGAAATTTCTTTTCAATTATACCAAACGGAGTTTTTATAATATATTAACGTCGTTCGCATAACGATCAAACTTCACAGAAAGTGTTAAAAATATTTGCTTTCAAAACGCAAAAGTTCCAACTTTTTTCTGTATATCGCCTCCTTGGAATCGTTAACTAGTTCGGGCGATTCTTTTTCGTTCTATAAACTTTTTAACAGGGTCCTAATAAATTGTTGAAATCTAAAGAATCGTTGGATTGAGTAATTTATTTCCTTGTATAGAGTACTTACGTTTATTGAGTTAACTTTTATATTACAAAATAGTTTATCAAAAATTTTTTTGATTTTCATAGTTTTTATTTGAAACTTTCATGATTACTTTGTAAGCCATTAAAGGTGAGTTACATCAAATCATCGGTTAGAGCATTCGGTATGGTTAATTATAACGATAACTTTAACAGAAACGTTACCACGTTCACCACTGATACAAGCTAACCTTATCAACTTAACAAAATTGAGTGCTTATAGTTACCGTTAAATATGAAGTCAATTTGACGATCGTTAAAATGGTGCAACGAATTTTTGCGCAACCGTAGATTTAACCAATGTCAAGGCGCTGGTTACCCCCTACCCTTAGACTATTGTAAAGTTCATAGGAGTTAACTAAACTACTTAACTTTTCCCAACAGAAAAATCAAATCTATTAGAGGTCTCAGAACTAAAATTACTTCGACTAGGTGGGCAACTTTGGATGAATGTTTTTTTTTTACTAATTAAATGTTGTTAAAAATAAACTTCATTTTACTTTTTACAACCATATTTTCATGCGTAAAATTGGATGAATATACTTCAATTTACGCAAACCGGTAAAACATACACTCACATTTGTCGGTGCGCGGTGATTCATTGCTAGCCGACGTAAATTATTAGCAGCTACACTGTTGCAACGAAATACGTTTTGATTCGGCAAACCAAATTACACAAAATGCAATATCCTGCGTCGAAATACGTAGAATTCATTTTGTCAATTTTTTTTATTAAATTTCCCGTGTTTGTTGGAATATTGTTTAGATTGTGATTTTTTAGGTTTTAATATTTGAAATTAAAACGAACACGATGTTTAGAGTAAATACTATTTTACTATTGATTTTTTAAACTTAATGAAGTCACAGATCTGTTCTGAATTCGCTTTCAAATGCAATTTTCTCGTAATAGTAAACTAATGCAATCAAACTAACCTTCAAACGCAAATTAAAATATCATACTCGGTAGCAACAATTTCATTTGAAGAACCTTGAAAGGTACATTATTTCTACAGTCACTCACCTCATATTATTCGTTGTATCTCGTGTTTGTTCTATATTCATATCTAAATAAAACCTTTCAAATCTAAACATCACATTATGTTTTTATTTTGTTTTATTTGTCAGATACAAGCTGTAGCCTGCGACTACGTGCGCGCGAAATAATAAAAAAAAACTTAAAAAGCAGCCTATGTGTTCTTCCAGACCATGTTCTACACGTGTGCCAAATTTCATCAAAATTTGTTGAGCCGTTCCAGAGATACCTTAAAAAAACATCTACCCATACATCCCTCCAAACATTTGCATTTATAATATTAGTAAGGAGTAAAATAGTAAGATTACATGGATTTTAAATCAATACGTAGTAGCAATCAATATTGTATTATTCTTTTTACAATATTTGAATTCTGTAATTTGATTAAATGAAACGTTTCCTATATAAATTAGTTTCGAAATATTCAAATATCACATAAAATATATTTATCAAAGTTAAAGTTTGTGCTTCAGCTAGAAAAATATGCAATTAGTGTTCTGGGAGCAGCGCCTGGCGTCCGCATGTTGAGACTGACCGCTGCAGAGAGAACATTTGCTGCATACTGATTACTTCGGCGAGGAATTGAATTGAAAACGTTGTGTTTAATTGACTTTTTTTATAGTTTATTTTGTATTTAATGAAATGAGCAAAAAACGATGCTTTTAAAGCAAAGAGATTCGCCAGTGGAAATCTAAGCTTGGTGTTTTTCATCTTACTATTCTTACTAATATTATAAATGCCAATGTTTAAATGGATGGATAGATGTTTTTTTGAAGGGAACTTTTGAGAGACGGATAATTCAGCAACCACGGATAGTTTTAGCATTACGATTCACAATCCACAATCCAATGTTCTATCGCCCGCAACGCGCGCTATATGTATACACGGGCAAGTTGCGCA